TTATAGTATGAGTGAGTCATTTCGTGATACGACTAAACTGTCGGTGACACACAATTAAACTTCTATATACTACATTGAGGTCTTGTCGGAAATGGCCACAACTCCACCGCTTTGTTTACTTGACAGTGCACTCACGGTGCCAATATAAACATGTCATTCGCATATAGATCTTCAATTTGTCCATTTGCACTTTACACAAAACAAAAACTACAGTTTGATTTCCACGTTTATTCCTAAATTTACGTTAAGTATCCAGTTAACATGTTAATGTATGTGTCATGAATATTGATTCGTATCAAATTTAATTATTGATAAATTGATAATTGTGTTCATCAATAAACATACAACAGATGTTAAACTAACCAATATACAATGCTGGTTAGTCTATATTGTTAAACTAACGATTTCCTACACAATATACAATTTATTACCCTATAAATTAAGCGTGTAATGGTCGGAAACAACGATTTAATCTCTTATTACCCGAGAATATAAGACTATTCGTTTAAACAAAAATATTTATTACAATATAAATTTTAAACTTTAAAATGAATTAGGTTGCGTAGCAAATATAGTTCTATTTCAACCAAAACAAATTTAAACCGTCTAGCTTTTACGTAAATTGTTTGAATAGGAAAGGAGTCTAAAGGATACCCAAGGCTCGTACGATTGACTTTCACAAAGGGTGAGTTGAGTGTGTGAACACTTACAAACGGAATATGGAGTGGTGTTGAAAAGGAATCAGTCTCTCAAAGTTAAAAAAAAGAGATGCTGTGAAAAAATATTCAATTAGTTATGATTCTCAAATATTAATTTATTCTAGTTCTTTATAGCTTTGTGTTCTTAAGTTTATTTCGTTCTTTTTGTGTTCTATGCTATATCACTAGAAATTGGTGAATGATAAATATGAAATAAGTGTGGATCATGATTTCTTGATGCATTAGAAATATTTTTTATTCATAACGTCTTTTTCCGTCTCTTTTAGTACTTTCGTCATAGTTAATTTCATTAAGAAAAATCATCCAATTTTGACATTTTGTGATTTATGCTAAATCATTTGAAACTGGTGATAGATAAATATGAAATAATTGTGGATCATGATTTCTTGATGCATTAAGAATACTTTTTACTCATAACGTCTTTCTCCATCAGTTTTAGTACTTACGTTATAGTTGATTTTATTAAGGAAAATTGTCCAATTTTGACATTTTGTGGTTAATGCATCACTTGAAACTGGTGATAGATAAATATGAAATCAATGTGGATTATGACTTCTTGATGTATTAAGAATATTTTTTTATTCATATCGTCCTTCTCTATCAGTTTTAGTACTTCCGTTATGCTTACATATTTTATTAAGGAAAATCGTTCAATATTTTATTACATTCCTTTCTTTGCTTCTCAAAGGACAAAAATGTTTTAGATTATCTGTTGTGTCACTAAAGCACGCAGCTTTAATGTCTCGTGCTACAAAATGAATTCGTGCTGTTTTAATGTCATCATTTATTTAATCAATACCACTGCCACGTTTCTTCTTATATAACTTCATTTTCTCCTTCTTAACATTTTCAACATCGTGTTAGAAAACAAATACCTAGTTTTCAATATTTTATCTAAGTTGACGTACCCTTCCAGGTTATTCGAAAGGTCAATTTCAGAAGCAAAGCCGAAAATATAGAACGTTTCGAGAGAACTGTATATTTCAGCTGTTGCCTCAGAATAAATTCTGGCCACCATTGCCCGTATTTTCGCTTGGAAATTCAGATTCCAGACATCCTGAGACGTTCTCTGAATTTTAGACAAATATTTTCATGAATCGAAAGTAGGAACTATTTGTCTATCCCTCTCGGAACACTATGAAAATATTTGAATATTCTAAAGGACGTTTTACACTGAATTATTTGTTATTCAAAATTCGTCTTGAATGTACGAAGGAAATTTCAGTTGTTTTTATCTTAATTTTTGGTTTCATTTAAAGAAAAACAAATTATCTTTTACAATTTAAATTCTTTATTACTCTATCAATTGAATTTACCTGAAACAAGTTCCGGATTCTCTTCCCATCTAATCCAAACTGTGAAGTAATCAAGATTTACACTTCTTGTTCTTCGTCCCACACCAAAGTATCGATCGTTAGGGAAAAGGCAATCATCCATCGATTGCACGGCAATTTGCTTAAGTGCGAGGGTGCGGGTGCGTTCTAAATGTAAAATAAAGGACGTAAATCAACGAGGAAAACTGCGTTGACGGACGTAGTTTTTTCAATTTAGTAATCGCAACGTCACCGACGGTTTATACCCTAACAAATAACTACATTAAATCATTTTCGAACGAAAGAATGGTCTCATTTTTATTCAGAATCAATTTTAAGTTTTTTTTTGTAATCAAAATAAAAATAACTTTAGCACCATATTAAATCGAGCGTTAACCAGAGTTTCTTATTAATATTCCAGGAGGAGGAAATTTAGTCCCGCCGGGTACTGAACCGTTTGTGGGTTTGGAAAAGCGTAAACAGGGAAATGCGCGTTTCATGTACAATAATAAAAGCCCCATTTTCCCGAGGTTTCCTTTTTTCCATAGAACAGTCGCTTGTTTGCTCGAAAACGTTATATTCCACAAAACTATTATCGTTACATGACCATAAAAGTATTATTGCAACCTATATACTCAAATATTAATGTATTTCTTTTTAAAAGAATATTAATGTAAGTTTAACGTTTCCATACCAAAATTAATTTAGAATTAACCAAGAAAGTGATAATTACAAAACTAATTTAATCTTAATACATATTTTGATTAAGCCAAAAGCAAGCTTTAGCAAATTAACGCAGCAAGCAATTTCATTTAGACTCTTCGGAATATAATTAACAATAAATTTCATGTACTATCGTAACAAACTACTTAGTTGAGAGTGTCTCGAATAATTTAGTATCGTTCAAAACCCTTTCCTAACAATGTCACATTGATTAAATTAGTTCCCTTACGCCCCACTCGTTATCTAAATTGAAATTAATAAAAGCCTATTTTGTAATTGGTTTGGATTTGTTCTTTGGTAATTACAAGAATTAATCATGAACTCAAACAGGAAAATGGGTTTCTATAAGCTTTCAATCAACAAACATTTCGTACGATTTATACGGAATTTATACGAGCTTTTAGATATGTCACAACACGTCACATTGTATATTGGCAGCGATTTCAGCGCGGGAAATGCTTTTCGTATACAAAGCGGAACACTATGTCTTCTGAGTTTACTCGTATTTCTCACGTGAAGGTAAACGCTTTGTTCAGTCGCTACCGTTATCTACGAATTTATGTCCAAATGTGTCGGAAGTGGCGTTATGTGCAAACTGCGAGGTGCTTTTCGCGTCATTTAAAACTCGCAACTTGCTTCTTGCTGTTTTACGTACAAAATCTTTAAGAAAGATTACCAACCTATATTATGATAAAATGTTATTTTAAGATATTATAGGAGAATTAATTTATATTGTTAATTACAATCAAATGTATCCCAACTTTAGATACTTTTTGTAATCATATGGAACGTCACTGAATATTAGAACTCGCCAGGAATCATTCCTTGGTAGAAAATATTTTAAAAGGAATTGAACATAAATTAGGATAACACAAGAAGCATGTCACTTGCATGTCAGTGTTAAGTCCCTACTTAAATTTCTTTCAGTACAGAAAATCAGTTTCTCATCTGTACCGTTTTCTTTTGTGGGCGCACATGATTACAGCCAAAAATAATTGCAACCTAAGTTCAATAAACTTTTGTAGTTAATGTTTAACCCAGCAACTAGAAGACAGATGAGGTGGTGGAGAAAAAGTAAAGCGTTAGTTCTTCAATACAGGAAGAAGCAAGGAGGAGATATGAAGAGGTGTGTAGAGCAAAGAAAGAGGGAAGAGGCAGAAATTCTTAACATAAGGTGAAATTAAGGTATGGAAATATATAAACAGAAAGCGAAGGAAGCGGGAGGAAATAAGTAGCAAGATATCGCTGAGTAGTGAAAAGAGATTTCATGTAATTGTTGGAAGGCTGCGACGACCAGAACAGGAGGGATGTAAAGATGAGAGTCGGAATAAAAGGTACAGGGGAAATCGAGATGGATGAATTGAAGCAACAGAGATTAATCCAGCAACTACAAGAGTTTTTCTGCTTTGACCAACCTGATTTGGTCCAATTATACTTTTTCATTTTGCATTATTTTGTCATAATCTTTCTTCCTCTTTTCAGGAATTAATAAGCTCTTCTAATGTTTTATCATATTCATCATTGCAAGATTTGTGACTAAACAAATATCTCAAATTAATCATAAATATCTCGACCTCTTAGCTAAATCATTTGACGTAATGATGTAAAAAAGGTTTGTAGATTAGTAGAGCAATGTAAGATTATTAAAAACGAATCTACACGTAGTCTTGGAAGCTTTGGTACGAAAACAAATTCATGATTGAGATGATCCTCTTGTTGACGAACTAGGTAATAAATCGCAGTCTACATACCTTCCTAACATACAGGCATGTATGAACTCTGTCATTGAATAGAAAATGTTGTCCAATGTCTTTCCAATGTTTCCCCAGAAATGTTCAAGATCTTTAATAATTTTCGTGATCATCTATATTGAACGACTTATTTATATTCTATGTCAATATAAAACATTTATTGAGAAAGTTGACAACATTATGAGAAAGTATTGTTGAAATGTCTTGAAATTTATGTCAGTACTTCCATTCCAAGATCTATTGAAAGGAATTGAAATATTATGGCATCATCTGGTTAATTTACAAAAAGCTTTTGGGGATATACTTTCTATATATTTTATGATAATATCTTACGAGTACATGTGCGTTGTGTTAAGAATATTTTCATGTACTGTAAAAAATCAAAATCTTGTGAATAATACTTGTGTTTGTTAGATTAAATTATTAATCAGAAAACTGTACTAAACCTAATTTGATACAATAATTTTATAATAATTTTATATTTTTTGTTTTAGATCAAAATGGGAACGGAATTAAACCATTCGAAACGTACAATGTGGAAGGGTGCGTTATTTCAAAATCCAATCGCCGAAGAGGTACTATGGCGTTATTGATTCGTCGGATATTAGGTGATGTACAGGTAAGTTTATTAAAAAGTAGGAAAAAATTGATTGGTTTGTGCGATTTACTTTGTGCGATTCACTGTGTGCGCTTTTCGCCATTAATCGAATTGACTTTTAATCTTATCGGAACCTTTACGATTACGTCTTTATGGTCCGTCGGTTACTAAAACGTATCGTTTAAAACCGCAACAGCAAACGGGGCGAAACAGACGAGTCTCGGCCTTAAAACGATATACCAATACACTTCGGAATTGGATAAAATCAACAGGAAACGTCTGCGGAGGCTTTGATCAGCGAATCGATTGGCGTTCCGCAAACCGTCTGTGAAACGAATACGTCAGTCTACAATTAATCGTGGTTTCTATTGATTTCCGGGACGTAATAAACTATTTAGTATTTTAGACAACATCTATACATTATGAGGTCCCTGAAACATCCTTGACATGAAGTTGTTTTAAATTATGATTTTCAACTAAATATAGGTAACGTTATTGATTTAAAAAGTAATTTAAATTACTTTATGATGTACTTAAAACTAATTTATGAGTTGCATGCATAACTTTATAAAGCCTTTAATAAATTAACACCACGTTAAAATGTAAACAGTAATATGCAAAGTTGATTAATTCCATTAAAAATGCTGTTGCTTTTTAAGAGTTATAAATTTTTAGATGACCATCGCAGAAAACCCTCCGGTTGTCCTGGTTGAATGACGTCAAGCGTAACGAAGATAACCAGAATTTTCATTTATTCGCGTTGTTTTTACAACCCGGCTTACCGTAAAATTCAATTTTGCAGTACGGTGTTTTCCAACTACTAAAACTTGCAATGGCAAGTAGTTAAAATGGTTCGTGTTTTTTATGTATTACAATCACTGCAGAAGATTATTTTAATTGGGTAATATAAATGTTTAAGGACTACATATTTACATGAACTAAAAAGAAATTTCGATTATTAAAAACTATTAAATATAGATCCTGCTGAAGATGATATAAAATTAGTGAAACTTAACTTAATTCAATTTAAGTAACAAATTCAATTTGTTGTCAGTTCAAAGGTGCAAAAAGGTTGGTTACCGCAGTTGTCGGAATTAAAATTTACTGAGCAATTTTCAGGTAGGAAAACGTTGGTGCATCGCTCGTTTACCGGACGATGAAATCACCCTACATTACCGGCTCAACCGAAACAATGCAGGAATATAAATTGGACCTTGTATAACGCCGCAATAGCCACACAATTACTACGACCATATAAACTACCTACTTTAATTTTCCCCGTAGTTTTATCCGTTCCACATAAAATTATTTTAAATTCAGAAACCCTGTATAGAGAAGTTTTAATAAATAAAAATTTAATATCGGGATATTTGCTGATTAAAGTTATTATAGGCGAAGTAAAAAAAAATATAAGATGAGCTTTACTTTTTGTATTTTATGATATTAAATTTGAAATCGATTTCAATATTGGTACACTGTATCTGAGGCGGATTAATAAAGCCTGGGCATATAAAACACAAGGGTTTTCTCGTTCCAGTTGGATTACGTGACAGAAACTGATGTCATAACGATAATCCCGGATATAGGTATTTCGATCCGCTCATCTAAAAGCGATATTAGTTTATAAATCCCATCCAGTATTGTTGTTGTGGTCGTTTATTTCAAAAATATTCCAATGCCGCAAAAGGTTTATTGAGTTACAGTATTTATTGAAATTCAAATTTAGTTGTTTAAATTAAAAAAAAACAAAAGTAATTATTAATCTATAACAAATGGTCAAATGCTATCAGTTACATTGTATTTACAGAATCCGGTAAAATGATGAGGTTAATAAACTGGTTCAAGTAAATGCTGTCTTAAATTAACATTTTTCAACTTAGTATAACATAATCAAACGGTAAAAGAAATCATAAAAGTACATTGCACAGAAGAAGGAGTGTGACACTAAATCTTTGCAATGAAATAAGTAAATTCGTAAGATCGATGACAGTAGGTATAGGGCGCGCCAAAAATTTAGTATATAATATAATAACAGTTCGGAAATACTCAATATCATAAACATAAACCGTTTAGAGTAATTTTAATTGCGTAAAGAGAATTTTCATTAAACATATAGGTAAAGAAGTAATTTTTTTCTGATTATATTCTTCTTCTTTAATTAATACAAAGTCTTATTTCTGTTATAAAATAATGAGATGTTTAGTTTTCGTGTCATGTGTTCATCAACAACACATGAAAAACAACCCAACTCGAAACCCATCCAGAACCCAACCCAAACACATCTAGAACCCAACCCAACTTTTTTTCTTCTTATTGTTAGCGCCTGACGTTGGTAGATAATGGAAAGGATTCTTCGGCCGGAAGTGTGAGAGTATTAATTTTAATATCCCACTAAAAACTCCCCTCATTTCCTCTCCGGAACCATCAAATTAGCATATCTTCAGAGAACTCAAAACCTGCTCTGTTGACTGCTCCCTCGTAGTTTTTTGACGCTCATCGGGATGTTGAGCGGTTGGGGTTCAATAGAAAGCCCCTCTTTCTAAGCATTACTCCTCTTCCTGCCCTCTCACCCCGTTACTGGGACGTTGACATCACCCTCTCCATATGACAAGGACAATAAAACAAGCAAATAAAAAGTTCCCTCTATATTTTCAGAATTTTAACATATGTTTAGTGACTAACCTGGGTGGGAGGGGGCTATCTCCGATTCCTCTTCATCACCTTCCACGGTTTCGCCCTCCAATCCTTGTGCCGTTCGCTTCCATTTGGAATTCCACCTGTTCCTTATATTTCATTATACGTCTGAACATATCCATGACAGCATCCCAGTTAGATTCTGACTTCAACTCATCCCGCATTCCTGTCTAAGATCTTTAAATTCCTCACATCCAAACAACGTGTGCTCAACAGTATCGAGCTTCCAGTAGAATCAACAAGCTTCCGATATGGAACTTGTCGATAGTCTTCAGGTATCTTCCAAAGATACCATATCTGGTCAGCGCTCTTTATTAATCCATGCTATTAGATCCATGCCATTGCACCTTGTAATTTTTGCCTCTTTCGTGCAGTGCATTTCTTTCTTCCACCAGGAGGTCAGTTGGTGGCATTCTCGCAATTATTTCCACAGCTACCGAACCAAATAGAACCAAGTCCAAGACATGCTTATATTTTTTTCCCAGAAAAACTGAAAATAATAAACAATTTCGAGATCATAATTTTTCGAGAAACGTAAACATTAATTAATAATTGAATAGTTTCAATTTCACCGATCCAATTTAAAATTACCCATTAAGGAATTTGATGAGTAAAAACTCATTTATCGATTACACGTTAGATTTAATAAGTAATGATAGAAAATGTCATTTTATCCGATGCACATTTCATGCATTTAAATTATTATAAGGAGGTTACTCGGTACTCTCCCTCGACTATATAACGTAATCTCCTGTATGTTGCCGTCGCGGTTCTGGCAGGTGGAGAGCATTGGAAAAGAAGGGTTGGAACGAACGGTATAAAGATAAATGGTCGGTTTGCATGCACGGCTACGTCTAGACGGCTTAGCACAGCGTTTCCAGTTTTAACAAGCGTGTTCGAATCGCCACTTCCACCCATTTTCCCTAGACCTTTTGACTTGCTGATTTTATAGGGCTGTTAAACACGAATTTTCACATTTCAGCTTTTTTAACCAATTCTTTTAGAAATCTATAATACTAGCCATAATACTAGTTTTGGGGATATCTCAAAATTTATTAGTTTGTCTTTGATTCAAATCTCTTGAAAAGTCATAATATAAAAGACAGCTTTTAATGGCTTAAGAAACGTTTTTAAGAGGGTTGGAAAATGCAAATCAATTCCATAAATTACCAGACTAATTTAGTCGCAATGTTCAATTCAACGGCGGCAAAATGAAAATTGAGAACCAAGCCGAGTCGACGTTTCACACTTGGAGTTATTACTAATTACTGGTCGCGTTAAAATTTTAATTAAACCGGTTGACACGTGAGATTCGGTTATTTAAAATTTCAACTCAGCTCGTTTAGTCAGTTTGGCCCTTTTAGCGGATTGTATTTTCGAAAATACCTGAGGTAGACAACAATGCGGCGGCGCGAATTGGACTTTTCAATTAATCCCCACAATCAAATCCATTGCGGCGATAATTGCCAACGGAATTTACGTTATTTAGAGGTGCAATTCCAACAATACACGCACCACCTGATGTTTTTAGCCGTTCGTTGATCCCCGAGATAGAAAGGAATTCGATTAAATAGATAGATGTTTATTTACGCGGAATAACTCTTTATATTTTCGTTAATACGTCTTGTATTAAAAACAATTTTTAATTAAATTTTTCTTTTCATTCATCAATAAAGTTATTATTTACTTAATACGCGTTGTACATTCATTATCACGAAGTATACTGAACTAATTACATCAACTGTCAATGCACAAAAGAGATAACGATATTTACAAACCACTCACAAAGTGTGCACGCGTTCTTCACAAACATCCAATTTCAAATCAACCAAAAAGATAACGATATTTTGTATAATTTTAATCTCTATTTTCAATTTCTCACAAAAATTTTACTATGAAATTTATTTATTACAGACAAAAGTTCGCAAAATGGTAGAAGAACACTCCACAAATTTAAAAACACAAATCGAATCCGAATATTCACCGTTAAACGCAATGCACGTTTCAGCAAGTTTAAAATCATCGACCGATGCAATGCACGACGTTACCGAATACATATCGGTAATCAAGTCGAACGATATCGATAACCAGCAAATGGGGATAATGATGAGTGAGAAACCGATCGTCGATGACGGAACGGACGTATCATCGTCGACGAAGAAATTGGGTAGCAAAAGTAGTACGAGGCCGAGTTCGATAGAATCGAAACGGAGCAAATCATTGTGTAACACAAGTTCCGTCGATTCGCAAGAAGATCCAAAGACTAAAAAGGACGTTAAAAAATCACAATCAAATCCGATCAAATGTGATGGTGATCCGATCGAGGATGATGGTGACGCGAAAGTGAAGTGCGACGAACTTGATATGAAAGTGATGGAAAAATCTAGTCCTGTTGAAAGTCTTGCTAGTGATTTTCTTAGTGTTGGTAGAAATGATTCACCCAAACCATCTACTAGTCAAGGAGACAATGGTAAGATAATGTATTAATAATTCATTAGTTTAGTCTCAATTTTACTTTTTATCATTGTACAAATCCATACCATCCGTTTTCTGAAAATCGTGTCATATCCGGTGGAAACAATAGCGAACAAAGCCACTTTGAGTGAGCGAGCTCAACATCATTACTTTCCAAGGAGACCAAAGAAAAAAGTGGTAAATAGACCGAAACCGATAGCATTGGATGAGGGGTGTATAGATGTGTGCGTGGTTGTAGAGAAGGAAGACGCCTTCGTTTCAGTACCATTCGTGTGCCATTTACCCGAGGGCCTAATTTCCTGAACAACTTGGCCCGTTAGGATTAAGGACTGAAAGCTCGTGCTATTGGGGAAATGGGGTTGAAACTGTACTCGCCTTCGCGACTTCGTCGTCCTTCGTCCCACATCAGGCTTTTGCCGTACGAAACTCGAAGTTTAACGGCGGTTATTATCGGAAAGTCATTAAAGTTGCTCTAAATTGTTATTTATAGTTATAGTGCGTTGCCATTTTCCTGCTGCACTTCTTGTTTCTAAGCGATTTCCTCTAATTGCTAAGTACCATGATATTACCACTTTATAAAGACGAAATGTTCTTATAATAGATAATATAAAAGCGTTACTACTAAGCTTATTTTTAAAAATTTTTATGTTGAAACCTATCAAGTTGGAAGAAATCCAATCTCGTTAACTTCGCACATGAGCAACGATGTAGAAAGAATAAGTCCTTTTGTTAACACGTTTATAAATGTTTTTGCCAACTTCCTCAACTACTTTAGAGTTAACCTCGTAAAGTTAACTCTTATATTTTACATTCCTCAAATTACTATTTAAGTCATCTTCAAAGGTTGATATGAACAGATAATATTTTGTATTATTTATGTAATTATTAATTTCAGAATCTCCATCTCCAAGATCTCCACGAAGCTCAGATGGTGCTGTAACAAAAGACGAACTGGCAATTTTAGCTATTCCATCGAACAGTTCGACAAGAACTAATGGAGCAATAAGACGATTGCGCCTGGAAAACGAGAAACTCCAGGCCGAGGTGACGAGATTAAGAAGATTGGTGGTTTCTGGGGCGTTGTCACTCCTTAATGAGAAAAAACTGGCTGCCGCCGCAACAACCGCAAGCACAATTTCCCCGAACGCCACCGTTGCCACACCTTCCGTAGGTTCTACGGAAACCGGAAATGCAGAATCGCCTGTTAAAGTACAGGCCCTTCAAATTGAATTACAACTAACCAAAGAAGCACTTTTAAGTAAGTTTTAATAACGTTTTTTAATTTAAGTTCAAATTAAACCGAATGTTTCTGGTTCTAGGTCTAGTGTTAGTTCTAGTACTAGTGTTAGCTCTAGTTTTTGTTGTTATTCAGCGCTAGGTTGTTGTATAGTTCTATTGAACTAACACAAGACCTGGAACTAGAATCATTCGGGTTTAGCCGTCTTGAGAGACGTGCGGCTAAATCCGAATGTTTCTAGTTCTAGGTCTAGTGTAAATTCTAGTTTTAGTTGTTATTCAGCTAAAACTAAATCTAACAACATTTTTCATATAACGGATACACCCTTCCCCATATTAATCCGTTACATCGACGTTTACTGTATATTACTTTTTATGGTAGTAAATTTCCAGATATACCATGCCAAGTATTTGTTTTTAAATTTAGCCCGCAATATACATTAAATTTCTGTACATATTCCAGTCACGAATTAGATAGCAAGACATGCAGTGTGTTTGTAATAAAGTCATAGAGTCACATATTTATAATAACACCTGCTGACTTTGGCAACAATGCATTTTGTGGTTTCGTTTAAATGTATGCATAATTATGAATAAGACATTAAATGTTTCACTTTTTAAATTTTCTATTAACAAGTGTCATTTCGCGGTTAATTAAATCTCGTATTAAATAATCAGGACGTAATTACGCTTAATTATTAAATTTGAAAATCACATTTTCAAACAATAAATAAACAATATGTATCAATCAAGTTTTGACATTATTCTGCGATTTAAAATAAATGTTTTATTATATTTCTAGCTTTGAAGTCGGATAGAAGACGTCTGAAAGCTGAAAAGTTTGAACTACTCAATCAAATGAAGCAGTTATATGACACTTTGGAGGACAAAGAGAAGGAGCTACGAGACTTTATTAGAAATTATGAGCAGGTAAGCTTTCCTCTTCATTTTTCCCCCCTTTTCATTTTGTGGCCAAACTTGTTACGCTGGATTCAAATAAAACAAAAGACCACACTGGGTTAGGTTACTGAGAAAACTTGGAAAGTTCATTCACAGTTTGTGGATTAATTTTAACTTTGGTTCTTCACGTTATTGAATTGGAAACAAATATATATCAAAAATTTTCGGTTGGATAATTATAGTGGTAATAAATGACTCGGATGCATGATAAATGATCTCTCCTATATCAAAATGTATTGCTCTTACGTTTAGTAATTAATCATTTGTAACATGGTTAGTCATTAACGATGTTGCTTATCAATTTACGACTTAGGTAAACTCCGATAAATACAATTAACGTGAAAAAATTTTTAAATGTAGATATATTCAAAGCTTTGTGGTATTTGATTCCATTATAATTCCGAACTCGTCGGATTAATTTCAATAATTAGCCCCATAACTTCAGTAAAAACCATCCACCTCTATTCCAAAAACTTTTCCTCTCCAATGTCCCCGGAAAATGGGAGAAAAAGTGAAAAAAGTTCTCGGCGACGAGAGAAAACTTCCGATCGCATCCGGAGTACGAGGATTTTAATTGAATTCCGAGTCGTAAAAACTTTTCAAACGTTCAAGTCTAATTTACAGTCATTTCATTGTTGAAATTATCTCATCTGCTGGTTTTCCATTTAATTTTCCTTTATTTTAAATTTCATTTCATTAAAAATTTTAAATAAATTAAAAGTAAATAACAAAATTTTTTACCTCATTAGAACGGAATTCAAATACAACGGACAAAGTGTCTGAAGACGCACGACTAAACCCGAAACTTTGTAGTTCTAGAGCTAGTGTTAGTTCTAATGATATTACTACACTGTGGCTAGAACTAACACTAGACCTAGGACTAGAATCATTCGGGTTGGGTTGGGCACGTTTGTGCGGCTAAACCCGAATGTTTCTAGTTCTAGGTCATGTGTTAGTTCTAGTGATAGTTCTAGTTTTAATTGTTATACACCGCTGACGTCACGAACGGGCCTTCAAGCTGTATAAGTGTTCCCAGGATGTAGCAGACCTCTTAGATTCTACCGTCCTTAGTATATATAGAGCCACATAGACTAAACGCAACGGTGTGGATAGCTGACGGAATTTGTGTGCATTAAAATTATTCATTCAAACAGACTTTTGGCTATAACGAACACTCCCTTCCCCGTATTAATCCGTTATATCAAATTTTTGCTGTTTTTTAGTAGTTTGAACAAAGTTAAATACCGTTAAACATCCCTCGGACAGAAGGATTTTGTCTTCTCGGAACCCCGAAATCGGATTACTGACTATTACGGATGTTACACCTAACAATTCTACTCTGGACTGGATAAAAGGGGGATTTAAACCACTTTATTTTTGAAATCCGATTTGCGTGTTTATTAAAAACACACAAAATCAATTATTCTAGAATTAACACAAAATGTGGATTGAAAATTTTTTTATTTACGAATTGCTCCCGTTGGAGGCGTATATTGAATAATGCATCAAAATCCACCCCGTCTGGGTAAATAATATCGACCTTTGCGATTAAATATATCCTTCACGTCGTGGAAGGTCCATAGTTTGCATAAGCGCTATCATCAAAACCCGGGTCACAATTGATTCTATTTGGATCGTAGGGAACGTTATCAGAGTTCGTGCTATATGGGATAGTAAATTTAAGCGTCTCTCGACGATGCGACGCGACGCGCCCTCCTACATTCAAAAACCACGTTCGATATGTGACGCGGAAACGAAGGGGACGTCAATAATAAATTTTCTATAATTTGCGGAGGTCGTAAAAGAGCACGGCATCCGCACCGTTTGCGTTCCCGTGGATGAAAATTATGGCCTCGTTCCAAACCTTTCCCCTTAATATTGATAATTAAAATCGCACGGCAGCAACGTCCACGTTTTGGAAGAAAAATATCGTCCGAGTGAATTATCGGACTTGGAAAATTGGAATTTTCCCAAGTTACAACCAGGTGCAATTTACTGGAAATTATGAAAGGGTGGAGAATGAGTTTATGAATTAATAAAATGAATGTCCGTCTCGTTGTTTCAGTACTAATTAAATTTGAATATGAAACATATTTTCTTATATCTCGTCTTACCAAACGAATACAGAACGCAAAAAGTATCCCTTTTGGAATTTGAACGCTACTAAGATGGATTACGTGGAACGCATTTACAATTGTAAGTCGATGGAGGTCCCCCTCCACCTCAAGATATCTATTCATGGAAATGGATGCGGTGACTGTTGGTGACCTAGTTGGAACGGGTTGGGTGGGTGTACGTTACCTTATATACGGGGATCGTTTGTATTTCATATACTTTTTCCTTTTTCACACACAACTTTAAACGCGTTTCAACGAGAAAGCACCGCGATAAGTTTTCGAAACATATTCGTGACGATATATTGGAAACTAGTGAAAGGCTACTTCCTTTTATCGATTATTTGCGTCAAAAAAGTTCAACTCAACCTTTATTTATATTCATTATTTTTTTTAATTTAGGAAAAAATCTTTTAACGATTTTCTTTTAACGGCGAACGAAAAGTGTACGAATACAACCGTTTTTATTGAGAAAAGCGGGATAGTAGAAAGACGAGTAGAGGTAGTAAAAGCCAGTAAAAACAATTTGACGAGCTTTGCGACGAGCCAATGAAAAACATCAGAGCCACATAAAGCTTTCTAGTACACGGATCTACTCAACAAATTAGTTTTCGTTTGATACTCGACATCAACCTCCTGTAGCCAATTATCTTGGAAAATTACGCCTTACTGAAAAGATAAAATTATAGTTTGGAAACTTTACAAAATTGAAACATCAAATTAATCACCTCAACGAAAGTTTAAATTCGTCAACATCGTTAATTTAATTCTAATATTTAATAATCTTTTTTTAGACATTTGTATATTTACTTTAAATTATGGTAAAAGATAAATGTTATGATGGTTTAATTAATATGCCAATCAAAGTCAGCTTTAACTTTAAAACGGTGTGTTTAAAATTGAGTGTACATTTTAAAATTTCCCCGACAACATCGTAAATTAAAAGGGCGGGTTTATGTGGTAATGTACTTACCTCGAGGGGCCTTCTTGTCTTTATTATTTACGTCGAGGTTTGGTCAACTTATTTATAAATGGGACTAAAAAGTTCTCCGCGTTGGCTAAAATTAAAATTAAATACAAAATATACCAAATACAAATAAAAACGAACCTCATTATTTAGACATGAAAAATCGACTATGTCCACCATAAACTAGAGTAAACGACCTTCGTGTTAGCAAATTCTTAACTAAAAGCATGTAACCCCGTGGTCGCGTAATATATATCGTGAAGTTTTATTTGAACGGGTCGTGTCGTTGGAAAAGAGAAGATAAACTTCGCTTCGTGTTACCACAGCTTCGAACAATTAGTTCTCGACGTCGAATGAATCATCTCGAGTTTGACGAAGTTGCTCGTTATTCAAGCGAAGAGCTAGAGCAAGAGGGAGGATATTAAAACGTGTCTTTTTGCAATACCACCAAAACCTTCATCCTAAACTTGCAACGATCCCCGTTGACTGTAATTGATGGCACAAAGTTTTCCTTCGGTAATTAACAGATAACATGTTCGTATTCAATTTGAACTACCTAAAAACAAGGTTCATTCATCAATTAGCTTTCTAATATTTTTGAAAATTAATATATGAGAATTCAAACATCTACAAGAAGTTTTGGCATTTGTAAAGAGTCATATACGGTAAATTAATTAATATTTCTAGTTCTAGATCTATTATCTGTTCTAGTGTTAGTTTTAGTTGTTATTTAGCGTTATATTGTTGTATATTTTTCATTAAATTAAAACTAGAAAGTTTCTGGTGTTTAAACCATACGGAGAGAGAGGGATTCCGTCGAATCCGACTGGTGTGTGTTCCAGACTGGACGTCGCACCTTTATTTTACCTACATAAATATAATAAAGGCGCGACGTCCAGTCTGAAACACACATCAGCACGAATAGTAACAGTTGTGGTTGTAGAAAAATTGCAATCTGCAATATTTTGAGACTCATATCGATTTAGCCTTCCACATTAAAAAAGTCCTGAATATATAATACCAGAGACTGTGCTTAGCTCCACTTCATCAATTAACTTAATATAAAAAATTTTACTATTTCGTAGATGAAATTTTTATTACATAAAATGAATTGTATTGTATTACTTTGACTTTATTCCCTTAATTTTTTTACAAATAACAAATACATTTCAACGTTCACGTAGATACACGTTTGATACTCTTGTCAGTTACAAATCACGAATTCACAAAGCACCATTTCCGCTATAAACTTTATGAACTGTACCCTGTAAAGGGCCCATTCGAACAATTTTTCGTTTTTATCTCTTTTTGGGCACGTTTCGGGTTTACCGCCGATTTGCAATACTGTTCGATCAATACCTACGCCGAGGAAAAGTCTGTGTAAATGAATAGGGTATTAACAAAGTAGGACAGTGGGTGTCGCGTACTCACGATGGATTGTGAAAATTTTCATATAAATTAGTTCCGTCACCGGCATGCGGTGGAAAACCGCCTCCTCCAAATGCCGCCTTCTGGAGGTTCGGAAGCCTCGACGTTTTTCCATTTCTCATTACTCATTTCCTGAGGCGATGGGAAAAAAACTAAAAAAAAAAGTAAAAGAAAAGAAAATAAAACTTTAAAAAGAATTGCTATCATTCCGATGTTGTCGAGAATTTATATCTTGACAGTAATATTTTCTAGAAAGAATTTCTTTATTTAAATCTAAATAAATTATTTTGACAGCAATATATTAACAAGTAGGTGTTCTAATTAATAGTTTGATCAATTGAATTAATTTTTAGAGAATTGTTTTAAACCGTTAAAAAATAAAATTCTAAAATTTTCCGATCTTATCTAGTGAATGTAGAAAAGAAGTCTTTCTCATCTCATTAACATATTGCATCAAATTTAAGATAATATGTTTGAAGAAGGCTAACCAAGTGCTACGAGAACCATTTTGTCAAGAGTAAAAGGCACGATACGCTCAAGTTCGTTCTTTTTCGTCGGTTATGTTTGAATAAGGCCTGAGGCAAATAAGGGGAAGCAAACTAAGGACCCTCCAGTTCATAAACAACAGGTTGTGTGAAGATATTTTTTTGTAAGCCTTTGACGTAACATCCACCAGCTAATTTGAATATAAAAAGAATTCCTTCAATTTTAACAAAATCAAATAAACCATTTTCTTTTTATTTTTAGAGGATGAGAGACAACGAAACATCTTTACAACAACTTTCAACGGAACGCGAAGAAAGAGAACGCGAACGATGGAGTCTTCTACGTCACGCAAGAGACGAGGCGGAAAGAAGTCTTTCGTTGGCAGCTCAACTCAACGCTAAAGAACTTCAACTTCAACACGCCCAAGAGCAATTACACGACGTGAGTAATTCTTCGTAAGAAAAAAAAAACGCGCTTCCCTCTGCACTTCACACGGTGTCGTTAAGATGCTATTTAGCGGCTGTAAAACTCATGACGAACGACGAAAGCGGTAGCGAAGAGTAAATAATAGTCGATTTTTAACAGTTTGGATTACAGCCAGAGGAAAAGCGATGTCTCTGAAAACGGTGAAGCGACGACAAGCTTTACACCGAGTTCTGAACCGTAAATAAGAGTTAAAATCGCATTTGGAGAAGGACTCGGTGAGGGTTGAATAGAGAGCCTTAAAAGTTCGTAAATATTGTGTTAAAACCGTGGAGAGGTCTCTTTTTCTCTACAAGATTTATTATGGCTTTGGACAATTTCATTAATAGATGTTAAGATTTTTAAGTTGAGATTTGAGTAACTTCAGTATTGCTTTCGTTGAAATCAAATCATAACAGAAACACTTTTTTTATATATTAATACTTTGCTATATCTCATTCATACCTGAAAAAGAAAAGCTAAAACACGTGTACAGTGAATTTCACTTAAAATGCAATGTACAAAAATATATTTCCATAGAAACCAGGGAGTACCTACTTACTTTGTCCCACATAAAATGGTCTAGTGTTAGTTCTAGTTTAAACTACCACTATCACTAGAACTAACACAAGACCTGGAACTAGAATAATTCGGGTTTAACCGTCTTGAGAGACGTGCGGCTAAATCCGAATGTTTCTAGTTCTCGGTCTAGTGTTAGTTCTAGTATTGCACTAGCACTATCACTAGAACTAACACAAAACTAGAACATCACTAGAATCATTCGGGTTTACCTGCGCGTCTTTTAAGGTTGCCGAAAACTCAGTGTTATCATAAGGACGTCACATTTTTCCAAGAAAAACATTTTCTTTGCAAAACTAGCCAATGCCTATACTATTAAGCTATGTTACATTTTATGTGGGACAGTGCAAGTGCATAGTAGTTTCAAACTATGATTATTGCAGTCATATATTGCGAGTTATATGAAATTCCCGGTAATTAGTACAAAACATTTTTCACTCACGAACACACGTCTCTCGACGCTTTCATTTCGCAGGCAAACAGCGCAAACATTTACGAATCTTTAGTGTACGGTGTATGTGATTTGCGAAAAAATACGCAGGCGAGAAGACAGCTCGCGTCGAGCGGTTGCCTTTCAGATCAAGAATCGGTGGCCTCGATGCCCAGGCATAGCTTGAATGGTGGCGGAGGAGGCGGTGGAGGTGCTGTAACCCCCGGTTCCGGAGGTTACCCAACTTCAGCGGCGGCCGGAACTCACGTTGGTCTTGGTGGTTTGGCTGGACTTGGTCTTTTACCCGGTGATCGAGGAAGTTGCAGTGCGGATAGCGGAGTTCGAGTTAGTTCCGATCGTGAGAGTGCGGCAACTTCCATCGGTGGAAACTTGTCGGATTCGACGATCGACGGTACGCCGACGATTACGATCGACGGAAATAACGTGGTGGACGTCGATACCATTTCCATAGTGTCTTCCATTCCTCCACCTCATATGTATCAATGTAAGATTAATTCCATTTTTTTTTTTTTGAAAACTCAAATTTTTGTTTTAATTTACCAAAATGAATATATCAAGAGTTTTCTTTACAAATTACATTAGTTAATCCGACCTTAGCTCATTTCTTTTTCTAAATTTATTATGTGGGTTGTCTTTTAATTCTTCAGTGATCCACCTCGGTAATATTTGTCGATAGAGTAGATTTAGTGTAGTTTTTTATGGGAAAGAAAATAAAAAATAAATGTACAGGATGCAATATCTTAATTAAAATTACCTCAAAGAAATCAATGCTCAAATTTGTTACATCCTGTATATTACGAATGTTTGTTATAATTTTCAATGTTCTCCTCATTATTGCAAAAATCTTCTCAAACATTAAAAACATTGAAAATTATGAATCCCAAATAACACACTAGTCATTTTTAACACAAAAACACTTTTTCATATTATAAAAATTTCTTAACCAAACATAAATTAATTTTAATTATGATGAAACATATTAATTTTTGTAGCTGTATCAAATAAAGACTGCAGTCCAACTTTATCACCATCAATAGCGTCGTCGTTCTGTAAATCAATGGGTTCGGCGGTATTATCAAGGTAAATATCACAATGATATAGTAGTGTATTGTAGAAGGGGCTATGGCTTATAAGAAATATCTTAAGAAATCCTTAGAAATCTTCTAAAAAACCTGGGAAATACTGCAAAAATCCTTAATAATCCAGAACTATCTCAGAAGGAATTCTAAAAAGCATTACAAAAGTCAGACAACACTTGGAATTCTTCTAGAAATCCTTCTAAATCCTAGAATTAATTAGAACTTGTTAAAAATCCTTTGAAACGGATTGAAATCGTTATAAAACCTCAGAATATACTGATGTATAAACGTCTGGCAAGGGATCGGCTTCTCATTCTAGGAATTTTCAGCAAAACTATTCCTAACGATAGTTTCTACTATCATCTTTTCGCACATACCAATGCCTCTAGTCACTAGACTACTGAAACTTAACAAAAAGAAGTTTTTTCGCCCTGTATTAAGAGGGGATATAGTTGTCTACAATCAAATTTTGTTAAACTTGACCCATCTTTTCCTAAAAAAGTCCAACAAAAAAAAATGGGAAATTCGAATCGAATATTTCGGACTAAAATAAAATTTTAGTATTGATTATAGAAAAATATACTTGAAAAATTTCAAGGTTTACTGTGACACTTGATGCTTTCCAGGTCTGTGGAGCAGCTGAGTTCGCCGTTAGATCCGGAGCCGGTGAATTTAGGTCGTCGTGCTAAAAACAGCCATAATAGACCAGGGGGTGGACGAGGCGGCACTTGGGGCAGCATATCGCGCGTATTCGCACGATCTCGTAATCGGAACAAATCTCAATCATTACAGGACAACAGTAAGTGTGTATGCACAACAGGCAAAGTTAATTCATAAAAACGTATTTTAAGATTTTTTAATTTTTATTTTCTTATTTTAATTTTATTGTAATAAAGAATCAGATATTTTAGCGAAAGATATACTTTAATAGTGATATTAAAAAGACCTTGCCTAGTTAGTGCAAAATCATTTTCAATTCATCTTCTTGTTGTTTTTTTGGCGTTCACAACATACAAAAAAAAACTGCCATCGCGTCCATCTGTGTGCTAGGTGAAAGCAATTTAGAAGCGTATCGTAATTGGTCTCCTTTAACAGAAGAGGGCTATGCCGAGAAGTTGAGGTTGCTTAGGGAGGCATCTTCCATTCCGATGGAGCGATGGAGAGCGCCAACGGTCGTCGCCTGGCTGGAGGTCGCGCTGGGAATGCCGCAATATGGTGCAAGATGTGCCGAAAATATCAAAAGTGGAAAGGTAATAATCAAAAAAAAACATAACAAACGATTGATTTTGATATTTAATGAGTATTTTTTTGCTACAAGGTTTTATTGGAATTGAGTGATTTTGAGTTAGAATGTGGATTAGGTATCACACATCCAATGCACAGGAAAAAATTGAGATTGGCTATTGAAGAACATCGACATCCCGAATTGATTCGTTATAGTTGTATTGCCCAATTGGGACATACTTGGGTTTCAAGTGAATGGTTACCTGATTTAGGATTGTCACAGGTAAATATCTCAAAAATAAAAAAATGCAAAGAAAATTAAGTTTTTTTTGTAGTATTCTGATGCATTTGCTGCAAATTTAGTGGATGCTCGAATGTTAGAACACCTCAGCAAAAAAGAATTGGAAAAATATTTAGGTGTAACAAGAAAATTTCATCAAGCTTCGGTAGTTCATGGTATTCATTTGTTACGAATTATGAAATATGATAGACAAGTAAAAAAGTTATTTCTTGAAATAATAATCATAATTAATATTACCAAATTTAAGGCTTTAGCTGTAAGAAGACATCAATGCGAAAATATGGATACTGATCCGTTAGTCTGGACCAATCAACGTTTTATTAGATGGGCTAGAAATATTGATTTAGGAGAATATGCAGACAATCTAAAAGGTAACTAAAACATTTTTACTTTTTATTGCATATAATCTTTTTATTTTATATTAGATAGTGGTGTTCATGGTGGATTAGTAGTTTTGGAACCATCTTTTAATGGGGATACAATGGCAACGGCACTCGGGATCCCAACAAGTAAAAATATCATTAGACGTCATTTGACAGCCGAATTAGAAGCTTTGATACTGCCAGCAAGATATGTTATTTTCTGCCAAATGGAAGAATTCCAGTTGGAAGCGGCAAGAGTTGCTACAAAACATCATAAAACCGGCAAGGCCAAAAACAATAATTATTAAACAATAATTATCATTTTTTTATTATAATATGGTTTCGTTGTGATATTTCAAAAATAGGTAGCAATATTAACTAGATTTTATTTGTTATAATTTTATACATTTAATTATAATTTTACTCAAAGCGGGTTATTACAAAAAAAACATATTTATTTTTGTTATCTACTTTAAATTTCGAAATAAAATCTGATACTTCAAAGAAAAATTAATACAAAATTATTCGGCAATATTAAAATTATATCCAATATTAAAAAAACACAGTTATCATAAAAATCAATTAAAAAAGTTACTACGCTATTAATTAATTAATAAAATTGATTAAAACGAAGAATCAGATGTTGTGTATTTACTAGTCTAATTATATATATGTATATGATAATTATAAACGATACCTGTAACATAAACCAAATATTTTATTTATACCTCTGAACGATTTTAAGATGTCGGAACTGTACTAAACGGAACTGTTAGTTTATCTATTACTTTTATACCCCCAAAAATCAAAAAAAATCGAGGTAAAAACCTAAAAGCAGACATTTTTTTATTATTTATTTTCTATTTTTGATTCATAACATTATATTGTGATAAGAATAAAAACGTGATTTGTTAAGATTACGCAACAATAAAAATAAATATAACAAAGTCAAAAAGCACAAAGAAAAAATTGTACGAAATCTTTACAAATTAGTTGTTATTGAAATTTTTTTGTATTAAGCACTTTTCGGCTATCTTCCCCATATCTATTTCATGTGATACGTGTGATTGATGTTAACATGAGATGATCACATTCCAAAACAAATATATATATTAAATAAAAACGGTCGTAACACAATACGTTTAATAATCCCGTGACCATCTATTGCTAATTGATACCTTTTGTTCATTTATTTATGCTTTTAAATGTAACTTTTTCGATTTTATTTTCTACAGGAAATATATTTGTCAAACTCAAAACTATTTATCGACTTTTATTACTCTACGTTTTACGGTATGTATTGCTTGCTGTTTTTATTGTGTTATTTTATTATACAAAATTAGCGGTAATGTTGTGACCACTAATGCCGATGCAAATGGTAATAGCATTGTGTACATTTTCCAGCCACTACAATAAACAGAAGTCTGTTCGGCGTTACTTATCAAGTGATTTGATTATTGAAAAATTATCAAAAAGTGATATTTATGTGATGGAACATTTCAAAGAAAACATTTTTCTGGGGAATGTATGTATGTAGTTTCATGTGGGGGTGAATTCGTTCACAGCACTTAAGCCCCAGCGGGCCCTTTGTACATTCCCACAATTTACAGTTCATTCAGGGGTCAGAAAATCAGCCCCAGGTTTTAATGAACGCTAGAATAGTCCGAAATTAGGGGCTATGCTAAAAATAGATATTTCACCTCTGGAGCAAAGGTTAAGAAACTGTTGCAGAATATCCTAGTATCCTAGTTTTCTCTGAAGTGAAGAGAACAATCTCAGTCTTTTTAAGATTTACAGAGAGAGTGTGCTCTTCATACCATCCTTCAACAAGTTTAAACGCCTACAGCATTCTATAACAAAGAAAATTGTTAGGATCTATCCCTAGTTCCTCTCTTGTAGTTGTATTTCTGTCTCTACCCCTTCTGGTCTTGCTAAAATTCAGCTTAAGTAGGTACCTCATTTCTGCAGCCATCACTTTGCTTTTGTGCTTATCATGCATTGGCCAGGTTATTGTTCAGGTGCTAAACACTTCTGTAATAATGTTCATAAAATAAGAAAAAACTTATTTAAATTTTTATTTAAAAAAACCATTTGTACATTTTAAAAAGTATTGCAAAAAATGGCACTTTAAAGAGGCAAGATACGTATACTACAAACTAATTTTGTACTAAATTTAAATATACTACATTTTGACATATAAAATGTATCATAAAGTTTAAACATTAATCATAATTACATAAATATTGACACAAAATCCTGTTTGTAAATAATAAATAATATAATTATTATTTTAAATAATGATTTAAAATGGCACTACATCAATTGATATACAATTCTACTGAATGAATATAATAAAAATTGCATTTTTTAATGTATTAAATTCTTTTTATCCATACTCAGAAGTTATGGATAAGCTAAATTCTCCTGGCTTTATAATTGTTTGATGATACCACACTCTTGTATCAATTAAAACTAAAAATAAAGAAACTAAACATTTCATAACTCATAATATTGTTGTTAATTCATACCAGCATCACCAGGGTTAACAATAAATGATAAGGTTTCACAAATACTGTCACACTCTGGGGAAGGTTTCAATATCCACTTTTTAGATCCTTTAAGTTGAGCCTGCCACATAAGACGGCTTATAAAATCCAACTAAAAAACAATTCTCTCTCAAATAATATTAAAATAATGTTTTTTAGATTAAAATTTACATGCATTGTTGCGCCATCATCATATCCCATAAAAACATACTCTTTTGATGGGATTTCACAATCCTCAGGCAAGAAATGTGGCTTTGGATAATATTTTCTCATTTCTTGTAAAATTTGATTGTGGCAATTTCCCCTAAAAATATAAAAATTATAATTTATTTCTTTTTTTTTTGTCTTTTTTTAACTCACCATCCAACATACCAAGATTTCTCTCCTTTATCATTATTTATTCGAGACTCGCTCATAGAAAAAACATCACGTAAACAAATAAAATTTGATTTGAAATGAAGAAATTGACATTCTTCATCCACACTTTTATAACCACCTTCTGTATTCTCATAAAGATTTTTAAAAAATGTAAAATTAAATATGTTAATAGCTGGCCAATGTAAAACTGCTTCTCTGACTATTACAGGCTTTGAAGTGTAAGCATAAGGTGCAAATTCATTTCTTGAAACATTTTTTAAAATTATTGGCTTGCTTACGTTCAAACAATAATTACAATCAGAAATAGGACGAGTAGCCTCCCAAATAATATAGTTATTTGGGATTATACATCTTACCCCCGCAAAATAATTTAATAAATTATTGTATAAGTTAATTTGGTATAAAATACATATAAAGGTGAATAAAATTGGTAGGAAACACCAAAAATAATTTGATGATTTTTGAAGCAATTTCGTAGGGTTTTTAAAACATTCATCCTCTAAATCGTTAACAGATACACCAAGTTTTAAAAATGTATTGTTTAAATTTACAAATTCTTGTTTAATTTGTATTAATTTTGATTTTTTTATATGTTTCATATTGCACCATTTTTTAGGTTATGTTTACAAAGAATATCTGTCATTGCGTTTGTCATTTCTGGTGCTATATGGATATAAAAAAAACAAAAAAAATTGTTATTTTTATATATATATTAATTTTATAGTTTAAAATATGTATTTGTTGATGTACTATTTGTTTTTAATTTAAATTCATTTTTTTAAATAGATTAAATATATATTTTTTGATTATATCTTTTTCTGTTGGCACTCCTTCATATTTGCATCTAATTTCACATCGATTCCCTAAAACACTCCGTAAATTCCGGTTCGTTATCTAATTTCTTGCATTTTTGAGTAAATTCTTTTAAAACTCACCTAAAAATATGTCGCATCCAAGTTCCCCTCAATCTCCGGCTCGTACTTTATCGATACCGAGCCCAATAATCACTCGAAGAACAAGAACTGCTTCAACGTGCGTTTAATAATAATAACCACTTAATTATCTAACTTAATTAATTTCTTTAATTTTTAGGTCGGAAAGAATATTGAAAACACCCGAATTAGATGGCGAAATCAAGAGTTTTTGTAGAGAAAAGGGACATGGTTTTATAACACCTTTGGATGGTGCAAACGATGTTTTTGTACATATTTCCGAGTAAGTTATTTTGTAATGATTTAAAATTAGAATCATTTATTTTTGTTGTAGTGTTGAAGGGGAATATGTACCATTACCTAAGGATAGCGTAAAATACCGTTTGTGCCCCATTCCGCCAAAATACGAAAAGTTTCAAGCAGTACATGTGCGTATTATTAATTTAAAACCGGAATTGCATCAAAAGTGGGAGTCTTAAGATGCCAAACATAACAAATTCATTTTCTCATAAGAATATGTAAAGTTCTTCTTTTTTTAGGGATAATTTTTAACTTTCATTTAAAACATACAATAAGTAATATTTAAAATCTTAGTTAACATTTACAATTAGCACAACATTTACTTCATTTGTAATCTATTTTCGGTTCCTGTATTACATTTTTAATATAAGTGTTTTAAATATATTACATTTAAGCATTTAATTAGTACTGGTAATGGTAATAATCTGCATTTATATTATGTATTGTGCTAATTACAATGTAAAATATATAATTTCAAGTGTTTGATTCCTTTATTTCTATATAAAAGCATGAAAAATTCAAGAAACCATAAATATTGCGATTTGTGTGACATATCGATTTTGACATTTAAATTTATGCCAATAATACCAATGGTAAATTAAAACTGCTAGCACAGTATAAATAACAGACAGTACTCTCACTCGGTTTGGCGGGAAGATATGCGCAGCCCTCATTACGCAGGCGAGCGGCCATTACGCTGGTTTAAATCTTGCTAATCGCCAGTGTGTCTGTGAGGTTTGTTTTTGTGCAGAGCCGTAACGACAAGTGTAAAGATTAAAATAAAATATCAAATATTATAAATAATGACGTTATTACTTATATAATATATAACTCAATAACTAATGTTTTTATCAGTTCAGAAATTTAATTGCGAATAACTTTTTTAATTTAATATTTTCGACGTTTTAAATATTTTTAATGCGGACCTGTTGTGTTTTATGCCAGAATAATGGCTTCGAGGTCATTGAAAATCAATTCGCCACATCAAACGTGCCGCCACTGAGTGAGAGTACTGTCTGTTATATATACTGTGCTGCTAGTTTTTGTAATAAAAAGGAATTATTATTTTGAATTTTAACAAAAATTATAAATTTATTAAAACGTTTCTTTTAGAATCGAAATAATTCTAAATTTCCATTTAAATGTTAATTAATTTATCATTGTTATATAGTTTTCAATGTTCGGTTGGTACCTAACCTATAATTGGTAAACATAACCTATAAATTGAACACGCACAATTCTTTTTAAATTAATTTAAACAAAAATGAGAAAACTAAATCACAGAACGATATCGTTTGATAAGAACTTTTTAAGGAAACTTAAAGAAGATTCAAATAGTTGTGTTCACATTCAAAAAGATGTTAAACGATTACCAATTCATCCGTTTAGATTAATTGATATAAATGCGTGCATAAAAGATATCTTCCAAACAAAAATTGCTAAATACGATGAAAAGTAAGTTATGTGTTTATTTTTACATCCATACAAAGTATTTATTTAAAGGTTAAATGGAATTTTATTGGGATACCAAAACATAACCCTTTTGGACAGCGATCGTGGGACTTTCGATGGATCTTTTACTCATATGGATATAGAAGGTGAATTTTACGTTTTTAGACCGATTATAGGAAGCATTTTAAATGGAATTGTTAATAAAAAAAGTAAAGATCATGTTGGGTGTTTGGTCTATAACACATTTAATGTTTCTCTTCCAAGACCGCAAGGCGAAGAAACCTGGTTAGGACAAAATATTAATATTGGGAGTGAAGTTCAGTTTAAAATTAATTTTACAAACATGGATTCAAAATTACCTTATATTAGAGGTGAATTGCAATCGATTATTAATGATAGTGGGTTTAGTGCTGATGATAGTTTTCTCAAACAAAGCAATAAAATTAAATTTAATGATAGTGATGATGAAGAAACTACAAAAAAAATAATTAAAAAACATAAAAAAGCTAAACATAAAGAATTAGAACAAGATTTTCAAGAAATTAAAGTAAAAAGATCTAAAAAGAATAAAAAAGAAAGGCAATCAGAAGAAATATCTTTAGAAATTGATGAAAAAAATGTTAAGAAAAAACATAAAAAAGATAAACCAATGAATTCAGATTTGAATCAGCTAGAAGAATCTGAAACATTAATAAAATCAAAACGAAAAAAGAATAAGCATAAAAATGAGTCTAAAAATGAAAGTTTAAATCAATCATATAGTGAAAATGATAAAATTGGTGAGAATGAAATTATGCAGACTTCAAAAGAAAGAAAACGGAAACGTGAGGATCAAACTGATGAATTTAATGAGATATTAACACAAGATTTTGATAAAAAAAGTAAAAAACATAAAAAGCAAAAAGAAAAAGCTGAATTAATTGATGATGATTTGAATCAATTTGAAGAAAATGAAAAGATAGAAAAAGTTAAAAGAAAAAAGAATAGATTAAAAGATAAAGAAGACTTTTTAGAATCTTTAATGCATAATATTGATGAAGAATTTGATGCAAAAATAAAAAAGCATAAAAAACATAAACGAAAAAAGGAAGAAAATCAAAATGATGAAAATGGTGGCACTCAAAACTTGTCTGTTGAAACTATCAATGAAGAAATTGATAGTAAGAAACATAAAAAGAAAAAGAAGGAAAAGAATTAATTAAGTTAGATTTTATTTCTTTTTACAAATAAAATTAATAATTAATTGTTTTATATGATTGGACTTTTTAAATAATATAGACTAGAATTAATTTGCTAAGTTATTTATTCATAATATCACATAAACGACAATAACCTATTAATCATTGTAGTATTACATATTGTTTGGCACAGCTTTTTAATGTTAGTTTCAATTTAATTACGAAATTTTATTCGTAAATTAATTAATATACATTTGAAGAGATTTTATTACACCCTACTACTTCAAAAACAAAACAAATCTTATAGAATTGAATGTAATTAATTTTTGTAAACATTTTCTTTTTATTTTAATGATCATGGCAAAGGCCATGGTAAACCGGAAAAATCAACTGGACCACCCAATCCAGCATCTGCTTCTAGTAAACTCATAATAACAGCCATAGCAGCTTCATCATTTCCATCAGTGGTTGGTCCATTACTAGGTGATTCCCGTACTGCTTCCTCCATCATGTCCATTATTCCTTCCTCTGGATTACCACCTACTTAACAAAAAATTAAATTCTTTTTTTTAAATTTTTGTGTTATTTTTGATACGCACCTGGATCGTTCACAACGTTTAATAACGAAACGTTATTTCTAACGTGGTTAAACGAATTGTTTTGTGTTGGTTGATTATATTCGTGAATAGGTTGTGTTATTCTTTGTTGATCCGATGGGATACTTGTAGATATGTGAGACTAAAAGAAAAAAATAAACTGAATTATTGATTTTTTTGAAATGCAAATCTGCATGATTAAGAACTATTAGAAGTTTTTGATTTTTATTTTTGTTCTACAAAGTAATGTTGAAAAAGAAATGTTTCAAATAAAATTTGTTGCTGATTTAATTCTATTTGAAATATTTTTTAATACAACTAATATTTATTGAGATACTCTCAAAAATCTCAATTTTTATACTAAAAAAGCGCCACCTGGTAAAAAAGCGCCATATTGAATGTTTGTGATTACAAAAACTGTTTGAAATCGTATTCTAAATAAATGTTATTCGAAACATTTTTCGATAAAACCAATAATTATTCCGATATGGCTTAATATATAATTTTTCGTACTGTTCAGAGGGAAATGAAGAAAATTTTATGAGAGTATACAGCGCCACCTAGGAAAAATATTGAAAAATGTTTCAAATAAAACTTGTTGCTGATTCAATTCGAAACTAATTTTATATAACACTTTTTTTAATAGAACTAATGTTTAGAGACGTACGGCTAAACACAAATGTTTCTAGTTCTAAGTATAGTGTTAGTTCTAGTGACAGTGCTAGGTTAGTATAAGATAGCGCTAGGTTGTTGTATATTACTATTGAACTAAAACTAGAACTAACACTACACCCAGAACTACAAACATTCGCGTGTAGCCGTGCATCTTTCTAGTTCTAGTATTAGTTGTAGTTTTAGTTCCAACATAATACCTACATTAATTTAATTTAAATGATTTATTTTTGATTACTTACATCATTAGTAACTTGTATAGTTGATTCAGAATCCGGATCTGGACTACCACCAGAAGAATTTTCCTCCACTCTTCTTTGCGAGTCCATAACTTGTTCCGCAATTTGACGACCAATTTTACTCGCTTCGACGTGATTGTTAATTAACCTTTGCATGTCTCTTCCGGCACCTATAAAAAATCATCTTAAAGAAGATTTTTATTGCGAATCAATTAAAATTGTTTACTTTGTACGAAAAAGTCAAAATTTTCTTGTATTCCATCCGATCTACCAGCTGTACTTTCAACGGTCCTAAAGTCAGTTCTACAAAAATACTTTTCATTATTATTTTTTGAATTAACAATGTTTGTTAATAAATTTGTTACTTACAAAATTAAATTATTTTTTGAAATCATGTATTCGATTTCTTTCGTCCACGGATTTTTAAAACTTTTCCATTCACTTTGCAGGCGGACAAAGCCTCCGTTTTTCGTTCGAAACCGGTAAACATTCGTTGAAACTCTCTCGGTAGTTTGTAAAGCGCATTTATGACAATCCGCAATTGTAGGAATATCATCGTGATGATAATATTCGTACATGCTACTCCCCAATAACTCTTGAGGTAAAAAACCTAACACCAAAGTAGCTCTTTGATCGACAAACAAAAATTTGCCATCTAAGGCATGTCTTGAAATAAATTGAATTGGCCGAATGTTTGTTTTTGTTTTAGTGGCGGTTGCCGCTGCAACCGTAGAGATATGCGGAAGAGTTCTTCCAACAGCCACCAAGCACGAAAGATTACAAGAATCATCAGTTTCACCTTCTTGTTCTTCCAACCCTATTTTTGCCGGTGCCCAAGATTTTAAATAACCCGTACATTGTATAACTTGGTACTTTTTATCCGAATTTTGTTTTTTTCTTCGATGACAACCAGTTGTGGTGTCAGCTTCTTCTTTAACTTGAGATGAATGTCTGCATTTCATCCTGCAAAAGAACGATCTTCGAGCTCCAGGGCATAAACGAGTTACGTTCTGCGGGACGTCCGTTTTTACAGGTAACATAGCTAATTGAAGTAAAAATTTAATTAATTTTTAAATTTATCTTTTAGTAATTTATTTACTTTTAGCATCGATCAGTCTTTCACGAGGATTTAAATCCGAAGATGAGAGTTGTTCTTTAACTTTAGCAACATCTTTAGGATGGAGAATGTCAAATAAACTCTGACCCAGTAAATCACCCTGAAAAAATGAACTTATTTGAAAATATTTTTTTTATTTTTAATATTACAATGTTTCACCTGAGAATAATTTAAAACTTTAGATACTGACTCGGAGACGTAAAGAATTCTTCCTCGGTCACAACCCACCACAAATAAAAAACCATCAGCTACCTAAAACGAAATTTGTTTGTACTCGGTTGACCAAAAAAGAAAAAATTTGAAGTTTGTATTAACCTGTAATATAAGCTGTTTTAGTTCTTGATCCGATAAAAACGATGGTTTATAATGTCCTTCCGTATAAGAATGAACCGCACCTCTTATGGTTTTTAAATGTTGAACCGCCATTCTTAAAACTGTTAATTTATCCAATTTTCTGGACATAGCGTGACACATTGGAATCATCGCTGATAATTCTGTGATGTAAGTGTTCATTTTATCTCTTCGCCTCTTCTCGATTTCACTATGATTTTGTCTAAAAACAAAATAATTTTTTTTGAATTTTATTTTATATCATCTAATTCAGATTTATATAAGCATGTTTTTATGAATAATCAATAAATAAGTTTCATAACAATTATTAAATCGGTTAACGGTAAAGGCATAGTTGAAGGAGTTTCGACCTTCCACGGCGGTAATAATTAAACTTTTTTTAACGGTATTATACTGTTACTTTCATTTGTGCAAATGCGGTAAGGTACGTTATAAAGTTATATACAGAGTCGAATGAATGCGCGAACATACATTCGATGTCGTCGTGACATTTCGTAATGACCTAGAAAATAACTGGGGAAAAGTCTAGGTTTTGTAAGCACGGGTGCAGTTAAAACCTTGAACTCTTCTCGGACTTAGAGGGCTTCCTTGTTATGTCATCTTATTAGATGTAGTGTAATGATTTTTTAAATTTTTACATACTTTTTGTTTTCATCGGTGGTTTTGACTGATTTTGCGTCATCACCTGTTTCATCTTCCATATCACTGGTTTCGCTAAAAGAAAATAAATCGATTTAGAACAAGATTTTATATTCAAATTAACTTAAAAGAAGAGATTTTCCAATAATCTAAAGTCTAACATTAACTTTCATTAACTCTAACATTATATCATGTGCCACTTTGTTACACCATTGATCATCAAAGTAGCTATTAGCCACGCATTATTATATACGCTTTTAATCTGGCTTTGATAAATGTAAATCTTTGACATCGTAGAATCCATAGTGAAACAATGCTAGAGTTTCCTGATTCCAAGCCGAAGTATTAGAAATTGTATACAAACAAAGGTAATATTTATCTATGCTATCAATTATTTTTGACAATTGTTATTAATAACCCCGACATGGGCATTGTTCCAAAACTGGTGATTTCTGCTTTTTATGCAGATAATCTTCAATTAATCTTCAATGCAAATAATATCATTTCTCCTATTACACTTTTAATATTTGTATTAAAACCAATGATCAGAAAATGAGCAAAATCCTCCCTTTTGAAATTGAAAATGGTTTATGCTTCTTCGATTATTATGAGCAATTGTAATGACTATCATTTTTCCTGCTTTCCTCTTTGTGCCTAGATAGTTAGTGATGTGATGGGATTCAATGTATGTACAAGTGAAACCAGCAAAATATCATATCAAGGAACACGTGAATTAAATTGCTCGATATGTCCTTATCAGTTACCTTATCATCTTCTTGACATCGCAATGATGTATACCGCAAGGGTATACATTTTGCACCACAGAATCACAAATCATCATTATCTATTGCGCTAATACCCTATACGAGCCAAAATTTTCTCCTCTATTCACCCTCATTCCGTGCTAGCCTCTAAATCAAACCTTGGTTTCCTCCTCTGTTATCCCGTCTTCCTATTTTAATTGAAGCCTTCCTTGTGGTTTGACATCTATATGATCCTTTATGGCACATATATTTATATCTGGTGCTCGTTCTACATGACCCGCTTATCACAATCGCATGACCTTAATTTTAGTCACGACATCCTCGTATTTTTCTAACAGTTACTATAATACAATGTTGTATCTGCGTTGCTATGTTCTGTTCTCACACAATTCGTCTTAAACATCTCTAAAAACTTCTGCGAAGGATTTTCTTTCGAAGATAAGCAGGAAGCCGACGTCCCGCCTGCTGACGATTGACCCCGATAATTGAACCATTTCTTCTCTAGACCATATTTGCTTGCATATTTTGTGTAACTACCACATCATTTTGTTTTTGATGAATTTTGCAGGGATTTGGTCACTACCAATTAAATTTTATTTCTTAGCTTTTGAAAGGTTTCCTCTATGTCTGCTAGATTTGGTGCTTCCTGTTCCTCGCCATTTACTACCTTCCGATTCTTCACGGCCATGCCAACCTCTACATTCGCGTTAAGCAGCTGATCAAAATACTGGATCTATCTTTATAATATTACATTGAGGTCCAACACAAGATTTTATTTTTTTTTTCTTTTTTGAACCCTTTCTTTGTTGAATCTAAATCTTTACACATATCTTAATCCAAACCCTACATACTCTACTTAACGACGATCAAACGTATCATTACCCCAATTTCCCTTTAAATGTGCCCTATTAAAGCGAAGTCATACAAGATTACATAATATTTCCTTAAAACAGGTTGATATTTGCTAACCAGGAATCTAGAGGTTGAAAATTTACGTAACAACCACCGCCAAAGTCGCGTCAGTGGCAGAATCGCGACTTCGTCGCCTTAAAATAGAGACGCAAGCAAGTAAACTCAATTATAAGGGAATCCCAATCGGTGCGGGTGCCTTTTGCAGACGACGTTCCCCGGGTGCCGTTAGCCAATCAAACTGTGCCGACTGAAAACGACATCGTCACCGTCGACGCCGTCCTCTACGGTTAATTAGCGGGCTCCATTCTGTCTATGTACACGAGCCGCCAAACTCCCCAAACGGGGGGACTCAATAATTTTCCCTCGGCTACTAAGAAGTTTTCCTTATCGAAAAGTTTTGACTACTTTATTAGGTTTCCTCGACTATTGAAAATGATTTTCTTGTGTTGCACGGGGTTTGTACGCGAGTCGAGCGTTTAAATTTCTGTTCACATCTCAAGAATAAAAGGGAAACGCAAAAAAAAATTTAATTTGTCATTGAACTTATTTGAACCGACTTAATAAACCTTGCATTTGTGTCACTCGGTTATCTACAATTAGATTTATTTATCCTTGCCTTCAATAAGAACTTGCTTTTATATCGAAACTATTAATTATATAAATTTTTTCTTAATCTGATGGTTTCAATGCCAACAAAGTGGAATTATAAAATACCAAACTAAAAACAATAAATTAACATGAAAGACCGTAATACACTGTTATTCGATTGTATAACAACCAGCGTCGATATATAAATATACTATAAAATCTTTCCGTAAAGCGGTATCTTTAAACTGCGTTAAAATTAAAATGCCAAGGCTTTACAAGTTAATCCATTAATCTTTTCTATTTAAAAAATACAGGAAGATCATGTAAGAATGGTTGCATATATTACAGTTTATTTAATACTGTAATACTAAAAAAAGTTTTAATTATTGCAGCTTATCTTAAAATATTTTTAATGTTTATTAACTTACTGAAATGATGCCTTTCTTTTTCTGTTCGATCCGGATGATGATCCATTTGTATTGGTGCTATTGACATGGGGCATATCCAATAATTGAGATTGTTGATGGGATTGATAAGAAATCGATGAAGAACAAGGATCACTTTAAATAAAAAAGAAAAAAGTTTCAGCTTATATCAAATTAATAGAAACAAAAAAAGAACTTACTCGACCATATTATGTAATTCATAATAAGTTGGTTGATAACTTTGCGGTGAAAAACTTTGATTAACCGATGGTTTTAATTCCTCTAAGGTGATGTACTCTCTATCATCATCGGGAACTTGAAGAAGTCTTGAGTAGGGTAAATCTTGAACGAAGTTTCGGGCAACCATCGTCGAAAAATTGTTAAGTTCACTCAAAAATAGATAATCAGATGCACTCAAAAATAATCACAATATGAAGAAAACAAAGTAAAAAAGGAAAATGTTTGATGTGTATTTAACAAAACTGTTTTCCATAACCCCGAAAAATGTTGATCAGTATTTTAAAAATTCTTAGAAATACAAGGTTTAGTTATAGAGTCAAATTTTGAAATAAAATTAGATTATTCAAAACAGTCTTGAAGGGATATTACTGAAGGAACTGAAATGGAATGAAAAGAAATTAAGATAAATCACAAATTAGGATGAGTATTAAAGGATTAAATCACTTAAGTCTTTTAGCGAAGATTTCAAAAAATGTCTTTTGGAGGTAAACGGGAACCGATCGACGCCGTTCCCGCAACAGTAACAGGTGTCACTGGGGAACGGCCGCTAATTTCTTTCCGTTTATATAGGTGTATCGCGCTCTCGACTACGTTTCCACTGTGTTGTGCAGAAACGACGTCAAACGATGATATAAATCTCCATTTGCGCATGTAACGAATCTACTTGTTGCATTTGACAATCTCAATATATCTCATAATTCATCCCCTAATATTTCTAATCGACGAAGAAAAGGAAATATGAAATATATATTAATTAATTAAAGTAAGTGTAAACGAAATTACTAAAATTTTTACTTAAAAAAACTTATTATTTAAAAATTTTGCTAAAATAAAAAACGAAATTTGAAGTAAGAAGCCAAAAGTCTAAAAAAGCATTAGGCATAATTTTCACTTCTTTTGACTTACCTTCTGTTTCTGTAATTATTTTCTTCTGCATTATTTTGCGTATCTCTTAGCTGAATATAAATCCTAAGTCATCTCTTATAGTGTGGCCATTTTCGTGTTTTTTATTGTCCCCGAGCTCCACTAACATTGTTATCTAATTGGCATAAACCAACAACTTGACGCAACCCCAAAAAAGTAGTCTAACGGCGTTAAATCGAAATGAGCAAGGTGGCCTTTTGACCGAGCCATTTTTCGAAATTACCGAACTCAATCAGATATTGATCACATTCTTGGAACCACATACCACTGATGTCAAGTCCCTCCAATTCTGGGCAAAAATTGTCTTAAACATGCAGAAGAGTGAACCTCTATTAACGTGGCGATTATTTTCATTTTGGTATTGAGCCTCTTGAAACACATTTGGGTTTGTTGATGTCCCATAACGCATATTTTGCTTATTGACAAAGCTATTAAGTCAAAAATGCTTATTTTCGATGATTTTTCTTTGATGAAGCTAATTACCTTAAATCGAAATATCTTAATATTTTTCGAAGGCGAAAGTTGTTGTTAGCATTCAGTATCAATATTTACTTCTAAGAAGAAGTAAGAGATTTAGTATCTACTTCCAAAAGGACTAAAGAATCTGGACTACAAATACAGATTAAAAAATTAAAGCCGTTTGTACCAGAAAGTGTGCGATTAAATACTGTTATACATTAGCCTAAGCGTGGACCAAGAAGAAGGTGCGGTTTATGTAACACCAAGGCATAGCCAATGCGCAATGACTGGCATTTAGCAGTTGTCAGATACCACTTTTATTAGGATTAACTAAAATCCTGCTTCCAAGCTTATCACAGCAAATAATTTCTTTATTTTTATTATTTGTTAAATACCTGCTCCAGTAAGAGTTGAAATGTGCCCTTAAATAGAAATTACTTACTTGTATAGTGATCATGTTGATATCCATTCCTCACCAGAATGGTATTAGTCCTTTATTAGGTAGAATAATAAATACGATAATGAAGCTTACTCCGACGTACGCTGTATTGCTTGGTATGGAAATATTTAATAGAACTCGATTTCTTGCTACTCGTTTTTTGATCTCTATTTCTTCTCCGTATTTTATGGTGTTTTATTAAAAACAATATTAATGATCATTAAAACGATACTACCAAAAGGCTTAAAGAACCATTACTCCTATTATCCTTTTCGTTTATAAAATCAACCTTGCATTTTCGAGAGATTACATGACAGTTTCAGAAAAACGATTTAAAAGTCTCTGATAAACTCGTGTGATATAGAGCTTGCGAATCTCGTTATTCCGGCGCTAATTAGTAACAAAGTATCGTCTGTTGACGTTTAGCCGATTGCATTCAGTTCGGAACGACTTTTGTCAGTCGCTTCGGGGACTTCGTCCCGCGAATGGATCGCAGTAACATGAAACCGTTAATAACACGTACGATATCCGAGAAATTCAAGTCCAAGAATCGTACAAGATTATTGCCCACGGCCAATCTCAGGTGTTCGTCCCTGCATCGAATGTCCATTGTGAAATGGATAACGAAGGGTTGCTAACGGTGACAAAGGCAATTATTTTTTAGTCCGTGAACTTATTAATTTCCGTATTTCTACTTCTTTTAGATTTAAACGAACCACCGTTTTTTTTATTCGCCAACTTTATTACAACTTGTTTTCTTTTAATAAGATAAAAAAATTGGTTAAATTGGAAAAAAAATTTATACACATTGAACAATCTTAATTAATAAGATAACCAACAAAATTAACTATTATTATTTTTTTTTAATCTGCTTGAACAAACCAAGTCGTAGGAAAATGGAAGAAAAATTATAAGAAAGGAGGCCTGAAAATTTGGAATGAAGAAATACAGGAGGCAATTAACGAGAAGAAACAGGCATAGACTAGATAATAGAATAATCCAGAATATAGATATATAGAGAAAAACGGAATTAGGCTAAACAGCTCACAAAAGAAGCACATAGAGGAAACTCTGAAAGATACATCTCCAACATCGAAGACGACGTCCATGGTAGGCAGAAATATGCATACAAAATTCTCAAACATCTGAATCAGGATGAGAAAGACTCATCATGGATAAATGTAATAAGAAACACACATCGCATTCATTGATTACACTAAGACCTGTGTTAGGGTAATAAGAAGCAAATTCTGGTCAGTACTGGACAAAAGGGGCTTTACCAACAAAATTTTATGTATAATTATAATAAATTTTCTCTTTCATAACTTTCGAATAAATAGATGTTCCTACCTCCAGTCAGCCTCTTTCTTTCATCATTCGGTCTCTTTATCTTATTGCTTTATTAAGTCTCAAAAACCAGATTTGATGTTCAAAAACGATTTTTTATTTTGAAGGTTAAAAATGCCATTTCATAAATGTCAAAAACGATTTTGTTACCAAAATCAACTTAACAGGTTTTAAAAACATTAATATAATTTTAAACTAATAATTTTGATAATTTTTAATTATTTTATAATAAAATTGTTGCTTTAAATAATTAATAAAAAAATTTCGAACGAATAAACTAAATGTGTCATAAAATTTGTTACCAACTTTAAAACAAATTACATTATCAATAAGAAACATTACCTAATTAATTCTAAATTTACTTCTTCTAATTTAAAATATTTTATTTTAATATTGTTTTGCTTCCATTTTATTACATATAGATAAATCGGCAAAATTTGCGGATAAAATAAAAGGAAATAAATTTATTAGAATGTTTTTGACACATCTCTTGTTGTCTGTTATAAAATACGTTACGGTTCAGTAAACCGTCCCCCTAATATGAAAACAAACTCAATTGCTTACGTAAGCTTTGGGTAGGCAGACGTACGAATCATTCTTTCGACAACGTCAACGTTTGCTAAATAGATGTCAGTTGCAAATTTCCGCGTGTCTGAGTTAATTACCATTAAATCCAAACCAGCAATTAATAACAATCGCATTATTATACAATTAAATAATGTGTATAATGAGGCTTTATCTGTTCTATTGTTTCATTGTAAAATTATTGAAATAAATTTGTTACTTAAGGGCATTAAACAATTAAATGTTATTTATGCACTTTTCTGCCATGTAATATGCAACCAATTATACACCAAGTTATAACACATTTATAAACAAAATAATTATAACAATTTTTAGTGTATAGAATTAATAATTAATTAAAAATCAATTATTTATATAAAATACATGAAAAAATTGATTACATTTAATTAATTTAAACTGTAAAAAGAACATTTAAATACCGAATATACGTGTGCATAATTGGTTGCCTATAATTTTAGAATAATTTAAAATTAATTTAAATTGTTTTAATCCATAACTAAAAATAAAAGTAAACCTAATCTTATCTGAAGATATCGTTTTATGTAAAAAAGTTTTTATAAAGTAAATATAAGAAATTTGCTGAAAAAAATAAAATTAATATGACCTTTTCTTTTATGTTAACAGGTGGCTCTGGTTAACATCCGTATCGTTTGACATTTACGTCAAATTGACCCAAGTGGGGGTTAAATTTTTCTATCCAATTGACGTTTCACCGATTGCCGTCAATACAAATGGCAAAATAAAATATGTAAACCGCGAAATATTAAAGAAAGTCGTATCGATGATGTAAATTGTTTAAGTATCGCTTAAATAAGCAGTGTAAAAATGTCATTTATAAAGGAGTAAGTACGTCACACAAATTGTTTGTGATTAATTTTACTCACACCCAAAAATTGTTTTCTTGTCCCATTTGTTGATCTCATAATATGACTATTTGTTAAGATCATCAAATCGTTTTCTTTTACGTTGACCTAAAATCCGTTAATTATACTTTAAAAGTACTTAAGTTACTTAATAAAAATTTAATTGAGTCTTAATCAATAAAGTCTGTTTTTATGGTTATTTTATTTTCATTGTTCCAGCTGGATTTTAATTGTATGATTTAAAAATGAGATTTAATAAATTGGAACTTGAGACATTGGCCACTCAGCCTACCAGTAAATTTGAAAAGGAAGGTGTTCTTTATATTAGGGAAAGACAAGAAGGGTTCTTTAGAAAATCAGAGAGTGAGTTTACCATTTAAATTATAAAACATTTTTTATGTTTAATGAGCATGTTAATGTTTATACTTTCTTCTGTTAGCATGACTTAATATCGTTCTTTAAATTTGATGTAAATCTACTTTTTAATTTTATTCTTTTTTGTTTAAATATAAATAGGGTTGGGTTGGTTTTAATTGTGTCTAACTTTAAAACCACCGTTATTAAACCTTAAAAGTATCCCTTTGATGTTAATAATATTTATGTAAATAACCCAAAACTTATAATAACAATAAATCCACCTAAATAAGTAAAATATCTTTTTAATGTAGGTATCAACATTACATGCTTCTTTTAATTTTAATTGTACAATTAAATTGCAAAAAAAATCAAGATTCGATATTAATTTTTTTTTGAAAACACTTATAGTGAATGACCCTTTTTTTAATCTTCATATAATCAGGGTAAAATCATGTATATAATAAAAAAATAACTATTGTTGCGAGTGCGACTAATTTTTGGTGAATTTTTCGTGATCGTGGCACGTTTGCAGGACGGAAAAAAGAGAATCAAAAGAGACTCCGGAATCTGAGCTGTGTTGGGGGCGTCAGTAAAGGTACTACTACTACCATTCACCATATAAAGCACGTAAAAAACTAACCAAATTAACCAAACAAAAAATTACACACATTATTTTTTCTAATATTGAACTAAAATTTAAAATAACATCTTAATGATGTTTTAATTCGATTTTAACAATAATGATTGGTTCAAAATTAGAAAATTCTTTATTTTCTAACATTGTTCATCACTAATTCACGTTTTTTATGTCGATTGTTGTTTATCTAATCATTTAATGTGTACTAACATGTTTATAAGGGTTTATAAAAAAGTAGGGAAGCTTTTATGTTTGTAAAAAAAAGTGGTGGTAGGTAAGAGATTTTTTTTACACATACACAAAGCACTGCTTCGACTTTTTGTGCGTTTTGTTTGAGTTTTGCTTAATCTGAAAGGGTTTAAGAAACTTCAATTAAAATGAGAAACAAGATTGAATCATAAATGATACATGATTTTTGGTGTATTAATTTATAAATTATGTAAATTAATATAAAATTTTGTAGTGTACAAATTTTATTGTTGATTTTTATATTTTTAATACAGGGTTTTGCAGAGAATTTTTTTTTTAAATAAATCAGACGGTTTCAACGCAAATTAAATCATCAAAATATAACCCAATCAACCCAAATTTCATACAAGATTTCCAGAACTTCCTCACGCTATCTTTTACACAATATCAGCCTCTTCCACACATCACAGTAGACACATCGATTATAAAACCTTCAAAAATAATCTTCATACCGAAAGCGGGTTTTAGACCCATCATACCATACGCGGCAGAGACAAGGCCAAATATAAGCAGGACTCTCTAAATTTTGAGACCAGTTGAGATGAAAACACTAGGACAGAGGTTCTCAAACTAACTTCTTCTACCGCCCACTTTGAGAATCAATCCTAGATTATCAGAAGAAACGTCAAATTGATGGGAGAGTAAATTACGTTCCCCCAAAGCTACACATATCTTTGTAATGATTGCCTATCAGCAATACACTGACAAAGATTTTCCTTGACACTATATTTTTCATTCTATTGTAGTTGTGCGAAATCTTCAAGTAATTTATAAGCAAGTTGTCTCTGGCGATAAATAGAGACAAACAGAATTATGGATTCAATCTGGAAATTGTCTGTGTTTAAGATGCTACCCAGTGCGGACTCTCTCCGATTCTGAAAAATATTAACTTAATATTCAGATTGTCCAGGTTGACATTTAACTTGAAGTTATCAAATGGAAATGTCGTTAAAGATAGTGAATTGTTATGATTCTGTTGAGCCATAGTAAAATTGATCTATAGTGAAATAGGATCTTTGTAATCACGTAAAGTTCCAGCAAAAAAGTCGTTATTTGGGTGAATATGATAAATAAACAGTACCAACTGTGAACGTCTACTACGAGCTTCAGTGATGAATAAAGATTCATTCATAAATAATTTAATGTATTCTTTCATTTACATTTAATTCCCATTAGAAATGGCAAATTACTGTAAAGAATGCAATTAAAGTTGTTGTCCATTTATGTGGTAAACAGGATATCATAATATCAAGAATGTGCTGGACATATTAAAATTACTGAATTGTTTTTTATAAATTCGAAAAAATGCAAGGCTCGGTGTAAGTGTATATTTCATCATTACTGAGAAAAGGAAAGCCTTTTCAGAATCGTTTGTTGTTCATCACACTAGTGTTGGTTTAAAATTACGTTAGTATGGGATGCAAACTTTTTACCTCTATGCATTGCATAGAACTGCTGCTCACGTAAATCATATAGCATTCAGAGGTGTATTTGCCTCCCACTCAATTTGTTTTTTTGTTGAATTATTCGTTATCTTCGTGTTGTTGATCCAGTCAGGAAATATAAATTATTAAGGTTGTCGTTATCATTCAGTGGAGGTTTGAACCTCGGCTCCAACAAGATTATCATCAAGTAATATCTGTTATTAGAGTTCCAGTTAAACTCTAGTAAGATGCTGCCATGTTGTGTTTTGAGATTTAATGAACATTTCTTGGTGTTATTTTATCCCCTATTGCCCAACGCTTTAATTAATGATGAATTTAATATGATCTCCAATAGAAAAGATTTAAATTTTTAACAATAATTTGAAAAAAAAAAAGATAATTTCTCTGCCGCACTCTGTATTAGTAATTTAAAACGTAACTCTATTTTAAAAAAGGATTGAAAATTGTATATAAAAATTATATTGATTAGGTGGTGGTTTATTCATTTAAATCAACATGTTATGTAATTCAAAAATGTATCTTTTTCTTATTGCCATTTAGTTAACTTAGAACGATGGTGTCGTTTGCGAGGAAATCTTCTCTTCTACTTCAAAAGCAAAGATCCATGGTCGGAACCGATCGGGGTAATCGTCTTGGAACAGTGTCAAGTGAGAATGGATCCACCAATGGCAACTACCCCAATATCAGCAGATGGTCACTTTCCTTTTTATTTAGGTTGTTTTTAATTTTAAAAAAATGAAATTAATTAAGAATATTTTATTATTTCATGTTTAGTTTTTGATGGTGGATTATGCCAGTCTTTAGCGGCAACTTCAGATAGTGAAAGATCGAGTTGGATGGATGCGATTCGAGGAGCTAGTTATGAAGGAATTCGCGCCGAAATGCATGCTCTCAGGCAGTGTATCGAAAGGAGGAGAAATCATAAACCGTTGGTTGATCTTTCGATATGGCGACTACAAAGGGGGCACGTAATAGGTTGCTAAAAATTGTTTCGTGTCTATTTAATTCTTCATTTATCGTTTTTTTTTTTGAAGATATGTCTGAATTACCTCTTTGCGAAGTCTCCCTAGCTTGCGACAATCTTCTCTGCGATGGCCATGGTAGACCCCCAAATCCTACACTTGTAGTTGACGTTTACATGCCATCAACTAAAGTTTGGGTGCAATATGCACGAACAGAAATAATAGAAGTAATTTTGTTTAAGACACCGAAATATTGTGTGTAATAATGTTATTTAATAATTTTTAGAGAAGTAGTAATCCCGGGTTTTTGAGTACAGTAAGTTTCCGGAGTAGTGATGGTTTAACTGGAGATTCAAGGATTCGATTTACGGTTTTTGACGTGCGCGAACGCGTCTCACACACTGCGATTCCATTGGGAACCGCTTGCGTTTTACTTAGTGCCATACAAGATTCTTCAAGATTAAGAATACCGTTATTGTCGCGATCTCAAACTACAGTCGGGTTTTTGACGCTCAGCGCTTGGTCTTTAGAGGCTGAAGATCGCGGAAGTAGCACTGAACACACACCCTGTAGAGTTCCTACGCACGGAAATAGTCAGGTAAGTTAGATTAGATTAATGTTGACAATGAACGTTTTAAAGTGAAATTTAAAAAAGGAGGACTCGGTTTCTAATTAAGAATTTATCTTTTACAAGATAAAATAACCTGGTTTACTAAAATTATCTGAATTAGAATAAATTAGATTAAAACACAAAGAATCAAGTAACAATTTATTTCCCATATCCGACATCGGGCGGCAAATTTAATAGTATCTCAATTAAAATTTCTTCTAAATTAACACTAAGATTCCCCATTTCTGAGTTAGATCTTCGAAAATCAAGAGCTGGCATACGTTTAGTTAGCATTTCGTATCCTCTTTGTAAAGAAGCATAAGCGTATTCGACCATTGATTCGAAATTCCAATAAGAGCTCTGATTCTCTTCATCTTCGTCTTGAATCGGTTCAGATTTTTCAAGTCCAATGAAAATCGACATTTTATATAAAAGTTCTGAAAACCAATCCGATCCTTTATTATCTACTTTATGTGTTTCTGGTGTTTCATTATTTTCAAATTGATCTGATTCTTCAATTAACTCGGTATCTATTTCTTGTTTATAATTTTTTCTTCTTGCTAAAGAAGACTTGAAAAAAAAAGGAATGAGAATTATCTTAATTGTATTAATCATTTACTTACATGTAACAAAAACATTAATAGAATTATTTTGATGCGCATTGTTTATATGTGCTTCTACTTCAAAAGTTAGAACTCAACTGATTCGACGCAGAGTTTTATTAGTAAGTGTCTTTTTCCCCCCTGAGGAATTAAGAAAGCATCAAACATTCGATCACTCGATAGTTGTTTAGATCGCCACATAGAATAGAAGGAATACAGTGAGCTTTAAAAAACCTGCCAGATCTGGGTTTTTGGGTCATAACCATCATATTGACTTTTATTAATGCACCAAAAAACCGAGCCGTCACGTCTTTTAATAGTTCTAATAGATGTAAATTTTAATTTACGTAATTAAAACTGTAAATACATTTAGAAAAAATTAAAACAAATTATAATCCAACATCCGTGACGTTAATTACAAATTTAGACAAAATTAATAATTTATGTTTAAAAAGAACTTTGTTGAATTTTCTTGCTTCGTTCTATTAACCAATATTTACCACGGAAAATTAAAAATTTGATACAGCTTGTTGAACGAAATAATTAGTTGTATTGTATTGAAAGTAGATCGCATCTGACGGCGAAAATTATTTATTAATTAAAGTCACCAACACAATGATTGCTTGGAATTTGATACTATGACCCCAATTTTTCATTTGCAATTTGAGATGCAATTTAAAAGTCGTTATAAAATAAAATACATTTCACTGTCTAAACTAATTTTCGTTTTATCGTTAAAAACGTATTGTTATTTGCTAATTTTATTTAAACGTTTAGTTAAATTATGTTGTTTAAAAGCTTTCATTTAATTATTTTCTTTGTTGTTTTCTTAACTTTCTTTGACCGGTTTCACCTAGTATTGGATTATTTTGTTGTTTTGATTCATTTCATCGCCTATCACTATGTTTTTATGATTTCATTAGTATGTTTACCTGCTTCTCAATTTTCCTTTCCTTTCATTAAGAAATGTAACTTTCTTCTTTCATTCATTTTATCTTTTTTCCATTATTTTTAAATGAAATATCTTTAAATTAGAAAAATCGATGTAACAAAGATGTATAAGTTAATGTTATAATTTAAGATTTATTCATAATTCACTAAATAGTTTTGCGTTCACGATGCGCGGTTTACTTCTTTTCCCACTCCAATTTATAACGCGGAAGAAAGGATGAAAGAAAATGGGAGAAATAAAGTAGGTCTTATGATGTAAACGTCAACAACTAATAATGATGTTTTCGTTTTATCTTTATTCGCTACGCAACATGTACGAACATGACGAATTTAGCATTTGAAAACAACGGAAATCTGTATCATCTTAAACTTTTTTTCTTTTTGGAGATCAACTCTCTTAGAATGTAATTTTTATTAACAAATACTGCAACGGAGTGTTATCTTTGATAGTGTTCAGGGTGGTTCAAATTCGATGTCCGAATAGGCTAACTCGGAAACTATAAGAGTTAGAAAAAAAGTAGCTTACATGTCATGATCTCGTTTTTCGAGAAACTGCTAATGCCGAAAACCTCATAGCGCTATCGTCTTTTGTTTTTCCCCTAGAGGCCAAAATTGGAAATATCGTAAAACCAGCAAGTGCAATTATCTTCGTTATTATTATAGGTGGAGTATTATAACTAAGACATTATATGGACACTTTTTTATAGAGAATTGGATGACGTAGTCAAAAAAATTTTTTCGGTTTTAGATTTTGAGATATCACAATTTTCGTTTTTTTAAATGGAAACAACCACTGATTATTCGCTTATTAAATTCGTTATTTTTTTCTGATTACAAAAATATAGGGTTCGACAGGTCTATTTCTTATTGTTTTAGAATAAAGCCAAAAATAAACTTTTTTTTTAAATTTCCATCTAGTGTCATCGACGAAATTAAATTTACAGTTTCCTGTAAATTATGGTACTATAACTAAAAATTAAAAAAACAAATTTCTGATGTTTGAAACAAATAAATTTGTTGAACTATTTAATTTATATATGTTTTACACAAAAGTTGGAATAGATTGCATTATTTCACATTTTTTATTAATATTTAATATTATTATTAAATGACTTAATAAATTATTGATAGATGGCGCTCATATATTTTTCTTTTGAATTCAAATAAACATAGCAACATTTGTTTGTATTCAAAAAGTGTCACTTTAAAAATCCTGTAATAATATTAAATATTAATAAAAAATGTGAAATAATGCAATCTATTCCAACTTTTGTGTAAAACATATATAAATTAAATAGTTCAACAAATTTATTTGTTTCAAACATCAGAAATTTGTTTTTTTAATTTTTAGTTATAGTACCATAATTTACAGGAAACTGTAAATTTAATTTCGTCGATGACACTAGATGGAAATTTAAAAAAAAAGTTTATTTTTGGCTTTATTCTAAAACAATAAGAAATAGACCTGTCGAACCCTATATTTTTGTAATCAGAAAAAAATAACGAATTTAATAAGCGAATAATCAGTGGTTGTTTCCATTTAAAAAAACGAAAATTGTGATAATATCTCAAAATCTAAAACCGAAAAAATTTTTTTGACTACGTCATCCAATTCTCTATAAAAAAGTGTCCATATAATGTCTTAGTTATAATACTCCACCTATAATAATAACGAAGATAATTGCACTTGCTGGTTTTACGATATTTCCAATTTTGGCCTCTAGGGGAAAAACAAAAGACGATAGCGCTATGAGGTTTTCGGCATTAGCAGTTTCTCGAAAAACGAGATCATGACATGTGAGCTACTTTTTTTCTAACTCTTATAGTTTCCGAGTTAGCCTATTCGGACATCGAATTTGAACCACCCTGTACAACTGGAAAATTTGAGATTAGCATATTAATATGCCCGGTTTGAACCCTAGTTAGTATAGTTGGCACAATTTCTGGTAGTTTGATGGAGAAAATGTGGATAGAGACTTGACTCAACGATTCTGGTTCATTTTAGTCTTTGTTCATCTTCAATTTGCGTTAACCTAGATTTAGTAACCTGATAAGGCGCTATTATACCTATGTTTATCAAAAAAATGCAGATTATAAGCCGATATCGACACCGCATGCTATTTACCTGATCATATACATATTAAAAATGTTCCCATAACAAACTAACTTATTGATAATTCTAGCCTTAACCCACATTCCTTTGGTATAAACAAAACTAACCTTACTCAACATTTTTCCACGGTATAATTGGCATATCTAAAGAAAAGTGGCCTACCCTAACATTCCTTAACGATATAATTGGGGTTTATGGAGATAACTGACCTATCCTAACATTCCTTATGCTATAATTGAGGTTTCAAAAGAAAACTTCTCCTGATGTTCTCAAAATTGTTTTAGTTAAATGTTTCTGGCACACATTATGATTAATTATCGTTTCATTTACTGAAATCACTATTTACTTTGTTGAATGATAGTTTGGTGAGTGCAGAATTGGTTCTAACCTCTTATACCACGTTGCGTATGGACAAAAATGTTTGCTGCCAGACTAAGGAAGGTTTACTAACTGCTACTTTAGATTCTATAACTTGTTGACTATATGGATTGATGCTGACAAAATATTTAGTCCAATTGATTTCTGATTTTAACATGTCAGTTTTGCATAGAATTTATACTGAGGTTGTCACGAAATCTACATGAATTAGCACCGTTTCTCGATTCTCAAATAAATAACATCCTTAAATTCTTGAATAAATATTTGGACATACATCATCACAATGTGTTTTGGCCCTTGTACTTAAGAATCCACCATTCTATCTTATCCAGCTTAAAATTTATTTAGGATATAGATATATCTTAAAAAATTCTTTTTATATGTGTTCTAATACATTTTAGTTTTTTGTTCATCAACGTAAGATTCCTCACATTTCCTTATCAATATCACGAGGTTTACATTTCGTTAGGCACCACATTTCTTGATATTAGAGATTCATCACAGAGTGTCTCATAGAAACCACATCACAGAAAGGATTTTTTCATTTGGTCTCCTCCAACTCTAATCAAAGACCGCTGTTGCAACCGTTTCTGCCAAAAGCTAACATTATTATAAAATGATAATAAATAATTTTTGTTTTAGATTTGGTCACATCGAAGATCCCAATCATTACCCCCCAGATTAGGCGTTAAAATGCGTCTCCCAAGTCAAGCAGAATTAAAATTGCTTTTCTCTTCATGTTACCTACAAACCTATCGTTTTCATTCTGGCTTGGGTGGTGACATTTGCGTACACGAACTCATGGCTGAAAGTAAACTTTGTTTTACATTTCCCCATCAATTACTGTAAGTCAAAAAAAAATTGTTTGTTAAAACTAGTAACAAATTTTCTTTAAACAGAGGTATTTGGATTCAACAAGAAAAGGAATTACTCCAAGAAGTAGCTGGAATGGGCGAATTACGCGAACCTTGGCATTCCCGTCAAGTGGAGCTTTTAGATCGTCACTTACAATTGTTAAGGTTATATTCTCAAGCTCGGGAAACTTTGCAAAATCATAAGGGTCGTTTATTTAAACCAAGTTCTCGAAAAAACGATCGTAGTTTGGAGTTTGCGCCGATTAATTTGCATTTACAACGAATGTGGGTTCATAATGATACTTTAAATAAAGCTGGTTTTTATGATTGGATTACTGTAGGAGCTTTCACCGCTCATTCGCATAAATCGAAAAATGGTGGTCTTATAAAGTAATTTTCACAATTTTTTTTTGGTGTCAATTAAAATTTTTTTTTGTGTAGATTAGTTCAACAATTGAAAGAATCCCCAATTCGCGCTAATTTAAATTATCAAATAACTACAAAAGTTTCGATGGCGAATGACGCGATTCAAGCGATTAAGCAGTTACGTAAAGAAGTGGTTGAAGCAATGAAAACTTTAATGAGATTAGCCAAAGAAAAGCAAACGGTGGGAATGTTACCGATTTGCGACGATATGATTAGTAAGTCAAGAATTTTATTGAGTTTATGGGATCCTGGGTTGGTTGAAGAGGCACTTAGTTTTATAGAAGAACACAAATTGGTTGTAACAGACGACTCAGGAGTAAGCGACGACTTTTTAGATCCAAATGGAAAACCAAATATGGTTTTATCCCCGTTTAAACGCATTACGCAACAATTAACGAGTTTGGATTTAAAGAGTCCCGACTTGGATGATTTTGCAACACCATGTACGCCTAGAAATATTGAGAGTATTTGGTCGTCACCAAATTATCCGTTGGAGGATAATAAAAAAGAAGAAAAAATTGAAGAGAACGAAGAAAATATAAATGCCCCATTTCCTGATGAAACAAATTTCGAAATTTTTCCCGATTGTAACGAAGATTCAATTAATTCAAGCGAACAGAGTTTGCAACATTTTAATTCTTTAACAACTAACGGTGAAGAATCAAAATGTTGTTTATTAGAACCAGAACAAGGAAAATTATTTTTAGACACTCACGTTATGTGTAGTTCACCATCTGCGAATTATTATAAACCAACGGATGAACCGGAACCTTGGGATATAACCCAATTAAACATCGAAGCTAGTGTAATGTGTTTAGTGAGTAAGGTAAAATTTTTGTGTGGACGTTGTGGTAGCCCTGCAGTTCGACTTAGGCAAAACCAAAGATCAAAAAAACCTATAAATAATTTAATTTCAAATCAAGATAAAATCGAATCAAAAAATGATAATCCCATTAATAAAGTAATGAAAAACGGAAATAAATTTACGGATGGTTTGGATTTAACGAAAATCAATGATTGGGCTGCGGAATTAAGACCGGCAATGAGGAAGTTACGTCAAGCTATGGATGGTTTATTAAAAACCGCTCGTTTAACTCATTCAGTATTTCGTGTACAAGATGATCCAAAAGCAGCCCAAAGAGTTTGTAACGTTCAATATCGGAGGGATGTTTGCTTTTCGCAATCGCTTACTTCTTTAGTAACCGGTTTGATGACACGTCTTTGGTGCCACAAACCAGATCCGGCTTTTGTAACTTGTTTAGTCTCATTAGGACCGTTGGCAAGTTTTGAATGTCTTTTAAGTTATCACGGAAATGAAATCGATATGTGGGGTGATATGTCTGTTGCTGTTGAAGATTTACGAACGGTTATGTTTACATTGGTTCGTTCAAATTCGACCGATAAAAATCCAATACCGAAACTAACCGGTTGTAGAAATTCTTTAACGGTAGCACTTCCGGTACCTGATGCTTTTTATCGTTTAATTCCAAGTCGACAAGTTGTCTCGTTTCACGTAACTCCAGTGTTTTTTAATATCGGAATAAACGAAATGGCTACTATTGCTGAGGGCATTGGAGCGACTCGATCTCAAGAACGATCGAATATTGATAATTTCGAACGACTAAACGAATATTATTTAAGATATCGAAAGTTGAATATGCCGGAAAACTGCGGGTTTAATAGTAATAACGGCGGGAGGGTTAATTCTTCAACTCAAAAACCTTTAGGGGAGATTTTGGATCATTTAAAGACCAGCGTGCATTTAGGAAAATCTAAAAATGTGGAAATTTTACATTTGGCGGGACAAATTTGTAGACAAATGAAAGGTAAATTTTATTGTAATAAAAGAAATATTAAAACTGCTTTATTTTTATTACAGGGCTACGTTTTACCAGTTGTAAAAGTGCTAAAGATAGAACTGGAATGTCTGTTACTTTAGAGGCGTGCCAGATTTTAGCAGATGAATATCATTTGGCAGAACATGAATTTCAAAAAGCTTTAGATTGCATGAGAAGGTAATTTTTAATGGCTCATTAAAATTTTGTAATATATTAAATTTATTTGTTGTAGTGAGGGTTGTAGAAGAGAAAATACTATGAAAAACACAGGAGTGAGAAAATATGCATTTAATTCATTACAAATTCTGGCGTTGCCAAAACTTTATAGGCCTCCTGCAGGAACTTACGGTTCAGCACAAACATAGATTACCTGATGACTTGCTTTAGTTAATTTTTTTCTATTATATTATTTTTCAGTAAAATATAAAGTGTATGTATGTATATTCCAAGGTGCCAACTTTATAGTCACTACGATTAAAACATAAAGAACTAACCGATTTAATTGTTGTTAAATAATTTTTTAAGTTATAAATTATTAGAGAGAGGCATTAATATGCACGTAGAAAAAATTATAAATTATCTATTATTAAATACAAACGTCATTATTTAATTTATTTTATTTACGTACTTAATTTAAAAACGGTTTCAAAAAGAAAAAGTAGTCTTAATATAAATTAAATAAAGTATTGGGACAATCTCCTAATAAATTGTTATAACATCTTTATTGGTTTTTTTATTTATATAAATTAATTTAAAATAAAAGTATTAAAGTAGTATTGTAATAAAGTTAATTTTTTTTATTTCCAAACCAATTTCTAAAAATTTTATTTATTACAAAAAATTATAATTAAGGTCTAGAGATATTTTAAAGCGAAGGGGTTGGAAGTAAACGCCGAGAAGACAAAGATCATGAAGTTTAGCAAAGGGGGGAGAAGAAGGAGGGAGGAATGGAGGTGAGAGGGAAGACAGATAGAGGAAGTCAAAGAGTATACGCACAAGAGGGCTATGGAAAAAAGAGCTAACAGGGTGATGGGACAGGTTTGGAGATGGGGGAGAGAACTTTTGGAAGGGATGTGGGAAAAAGAATGGTTATGGTTGAGGGCTTGGTGAGGAATGCAATGTACAGCGCAGAAGTATGGGGATGGAGAGAATAAAGATTGCTTCGCCCTGGAGGAGGTACAAACAAGGTATTGGATGGAGACGGGTATTAGGGTTGGCGAAGAAAACTCCAGGGTATGTAGTGAGCGAGGAGATTAAGGTGGATAGAGTAAGGATAAAGGCTGGGAGAAGAGTAATGAAGTACGAGGAAAGGATAGAAGGAAAACCTCATCACAGGATCCTGGAAGAGTGCTGGAGGGAAATCAAAGAGAGGAGGTTGATATATGGACAGGGAGATAGGGAAGGATCGACAACAGAAGACTGGAGAGAGGTGAAATGTGGAGAGAACTGAAGGATAGAGACAGGGACATACAGAGGCAGGAAAAGAAGGTCACAAATACGGGAAGAGAGATATATAATGTAAGTTATGGGGAGATAGTGACAGAGGAATTGCCAAAGTATCTGTAGATAGAGAGCGATGAGGGTGGGAAGAGATTGGTGGCCAGATTCCGCTGCGGCAATGACAAGAGAGGGATAGGTACTGGGCAGAGGTGATTGGGGCGAGGAGCTGAGGGTGTGGAGATGGAGGAGGAGGGTAGACGGTTTGGGTGTATACATGTATTGTAATAATATTGTAAATTATAAACAATAAAGGCTTATTATTACACTTCTGGACATATGGAAATCCAGGTTGATCACCTCCACATCAGGTAGAACATTTGAGTGTTTTCCAAGTGTAAAAAAACTATTGGGAATGACTTTCGCGTCAATGATTGGGTTACTCTTAATAATATAAACCCTAAATACTTATTTATTATTTGAAAATTGCAATATATGTTGTTTATTGCATTTTTAGTGTCAAGCTCCAGCGTAATATGAGAAAATAGTTTAACATAAATTATACACCTTCCTAGAAACCTTAAAATAAAAGCATTATGGGAAATAATCCCCTGTAATAAGCTTAATATTAAATGATCCGATCTAATCAATATATTGATTACAAACAACTACCATACATAGTGCTTTGCCTTTCTCCATACAACTGCCTATTAAACTATCTTGAGCTCTTCTTAAAGACTTATAATAATAAATCTTGTTTAATAATGAACTGATTGGTGAGACTTGCTTAATTGTAACCATAATGAGTAAATAGCAATTCAATAAAAGTCTTGATTAAAAATAAGATTTTTATTTTTATTAATTTATTTATTTATATTTACATCATTTACCTTAATACAAAAATATAAATACACGTCTCCGCAGTTTACAAAAAAGAAACTAATAATCAATTGATCATCAAAAACTTAAAATTACCAATCAAAAGTAAATAAAAAAATCAAAGTTAAAACGGTAAAAAAATGAGATAAGAAATCAATCACTGCTGATATGTTTTCCTTTTTTTAAATCACTTGTTTTTTAATTGCTTTTCAATTATTAATATATTCAGTTACAAATTGACAACAAAATAATCATTATTTGTAGATTAAAAAATTATTGGTTCGATTCTGTGACTGATTCTTGTTGATTATTTTGTTATCAATTAATAAGCATTCTTATATAATTTTGGAATGATTCAAATAACTTCACTTGCGTTATTTCTTTGTTCTACAAGAATTGTGTCAAGTGTTTTATAAACATTTTCTGGTAAATGATCCAAAATCATCCTTGGCATAATTTTCAATTCCATGAAATCTTCAGCCGTGGCCCACCGCATCTCAAAACTTGGACCACCAGTTCCAGCTTTCCTAAAAATCGAATATATAAAAGTACATTAAATTACAAAAAATTTTAAATTTACCTCTCCGCCTTAGTCTTTTTCCTATGAACAATATGAAGTATCCTGCCGGGTGTAAAAAGACGTGTTTTTGAGAATCTTCTAACACCTATATCACGTGATAAAAGGGCGGCTTCCGTTGAAGCCGCAACGGTTGGTACTGGCCTTCTCCCGAGAAGCGGCGATGTTCCCGGTGAATTCGAAGTGTAATCTCGCCAAGTTGATTCTAAATCACCAGATGGAATTCCGAAAAGTGCATAACCAAAACCATTTAACATAATTCGATACTAAAAAAGATGTTTAGTTAAATAAATAATTGTTGGTTTAATTTTTGCTTCACCTTAGGTAGTTTACTTGCATGAAGCGTTTGAATAATCCCGGTTCGAACATTTTCAATACTATCCACACCCAAACGCATCACAAAATCATCCCCAACTCCAACAGTAAAAATAAATGATTCAGTCATTTTAGCTGCTTCCCTACTTAAAACCCCAGCGGGAGTCGCGAATGCATACACTTTTAAATCGGGATAATTAGGTCGCATTTTCAAGGCAAGAAGAGCAGCTACTCCAGCTCCTAAACTATGACCTGTTAAAACCAAACCATATTCCGGGTAAAGTCCAAGCGCTTTATCGATAATTCCAGTTTCTTTCAGTCGCTTTGCTACGTATTTAGCACCGATTATCATCCCTTTATGAGCCATTGTATCAGGTGGTAAACCATCTGCTTCGAAACGATCTGACGTCGCTGTTAAATCGGTGAAGATATCTCTGAGAGAAATCGAACCGCGAATTGCGATTACAATGTTTGAGGTTTTGTGGTCTGCCAAAACACAAAATGGTAACTAAAAAAAATTAAAACAATATTTTATCATCAATAAAAATAAAATCATAACTCACCTCAAAAACATGATTTCTAAATGATGCAAACAAAATATCTTGATCTCTTACTTTTGATGTATATTTAAACCCAGCTAAATGACACAAACAACAATTATCATCCGTAACCATAACCGCTTTGCTTCTAAAGCAAGAACAGCAAGTGATCTCTTTCAAAAGTCTAAACATTCCGGTTGCGCAATATCTATACATAACAAACGGCCATCCATAAGCTGCCATAGATAATCTCAAAAAATGTCGTGCATTTTCTAAATTAACCCATTTCGGTGCCATACAAAAAATTCTATTTAAATCCGTCGTATATTTCGGTTCGTCACTCGATATCATTTGAATTCGTCTCATTTCGCGCGTTTCACGTTTTTGTTTCACTCTGAGTAAAATGCAACCGGCCATAACATCGGACGGAACTAAATCGGTGCTTCGAAATAAAGCGCTTAATAAAGCGGCGACTTGTTGGAAAGCTTCGTGTCCATGTTCGTCTTTTCGTACCCAACAGAAAACCCATCGAAAGCGTCGTTGCCAAACGTTGGTAACTTTGCGGTGTCTTAAAGATTCACCGGCGCTCGGCGTTTCTTGAACTTCGTGATATCTTCTTGAACCGACCGGATCGAAAATTAAAGCCAAACCAAAAATGGCTAAACCAAATAGAGCCCAATTAAAAATTACTAAAGCTTCGATTACGGTACGTGAAAAGTGCCCTTCGTAAGGACAAACGACGAGATCGCCGCAAAATGCCCACATTGTACCAAAAACATTTAAAACAGCTTCTGGAATTATTAGGAAAAGTTTAACCAGGAGTATTGATGGAACGTGTTTCCTTGCTTCTTCGTCGGTTATCGATCCTTGAGCGCTTCGATTTATTAATGTTACGAGTACTAAGATGACGATTGATAGAAGGGACATCATCCCTATGATGTAGGTTCGGACGTATTGACCACCTTTTGAACATTCCCATGTTGATTCGTAGTATTTTAAATGGACGCAAATTATTAAACTTAACCTGGAAATTTTAAACAATAAATTATTGAAATGTAACTCTCAACTAAGCAAATATATGATTATTCCTAGGTCGTGTGTATTTTGTATTTGCAATCACCATAAATGATCATTTTTCTCATAACCAGTATATTTTTAATGACACGTTAATTTTCACAAACATAAATCACTATAATAATAAGAATGACTAGGCATACTTATTGTTAGTAGTGCGCATAATGTACAGAGTGTTGTACAATTACATCATTAAAATTTGCAATTATTTAAAAAATTATGTTTTTTTTTACGACCGTGTAATTGCTTAAGAAATGTACTTGCGTATGTTTTTTTGCGTAAATAAATTGGGTATGTTTTCGCAAAAACATTATGTTAGTCTATTAAGTAAACTGGTTTTTTTTTCAAATTAAATCAAAACAACATTTGTTGTACAAGTATAAATTATAATAATCACTCTGTACAACTTTTATTTTTTATTGTTTTTAATGTTGGATTGTTTTTGAGGTAATTTTCTTAATAAATTACCGTTCTGTCCACTGTACTTAATGTCATACTGGAAATCCCTGTGCTAGTTTTTTTTTTTTAGATAACTCACGCTGATGATTATTACATACATCAACTTCTCATTATGTGTTGTTAACTTTAATAGACTTATTTTCGCGAAAAATAAGGTTAATAAATAATACTTACAAGAAAACCTTTGATTTTAAGGGCGATTTATTTTCAAATTATCAATTTTGTTAAATTGTCAAATTGACATTTATACTGTCAATTTTGAACCAAACATCAACGTTTGCAAACTATTTTAGCAAACGTAAAATTTGTACGTTTACATTTGCCAACGGTTCTTAACCAATAAAAATAGGCCGTTCACCAAAGAAAGTCAATCCAATCGTAATTTGCGTTTGTGAATATGAAATTATCAACTGTAGATAAAGAAGACAGTTAATTAATAACTTCGTAGGTTTGGCGGTAGATGTCGCTAGGAACATGTGATAAATACGGAAATAAATACGACATTCGAAGGTGACGATTAATAAGAACACTTTAAAGATTAACGAAAATAATTAACTTAACCTCCCAAATTCATTAAAATGAATTAGCAATTCAATAGTAAAGGATGGTATTGAGAAGGACATATTGGTTATTCAAAATTGTAACTTGACGCTTTAATGTCAAATTAGCATTTATAAACGTCAATTAACCAAATTGATAATTGAAACGACAATTGGTAACTCAACATAAAATAATTGTTAAATTCGATTGTAAGAAAAGACGTCTTTCTCTTGGAAGCAACGACTTTTATCCTCGTTGCTTAACTGCCATCTGCATGAGACGGGGAGACTTGGAAAATCTGCAAAATTACCTCTATACAGCTTGGTAATATTCAAAACTACTCAGGAATAGGAGATCCTTGATTCCTGACTCAGGAGTTGAATCAATTCTAAGTCAACTATGTTTGAGATTCGGAAAACACCATAAGGTTAACGAGGTGCTTACCAAAGCAGATTGAAATTAATGGGGTTAGAATGGATCCTAAGCCTTAACTAACAAACTATGTTGATGTATCTTTGAAAGAATTTAATGAAAAGGTTCGGGTCATCAATATGTATCATCAATATATAATTCATCTATATGTACTGTATATGTATTGGTTGCTTCAAATCAAAGCCAACTGAAAATGTGTTTTTTTTAAGTTTCTTCACAAACCATACATTTTAGATATAGGGATGTACTAACAAAATCCTTTTATTTTTTAGCGTACCATAGGCTGGCGAAGTAAAAAAGTGGGGTTGTCTTTTAAAAGAGTTGCAGAAAACTGAAAATATTTTAGCTGAAACAAGCTCCTAGGACAAACCTTGCATGCAAATTTTCACAAGAATAGTACCAGCAATTTGCCATATACATATACACTCAGCTCGTCGTGGCAACGAACAAAGGAAAAATCGTTTTTATATGCAGACTGTTTACTTATTACCATAAACCTTCAATTTTCATGATACACTAACAGGAAGATACAGTTCGAATCGGAATTTTCCTCTCGAAGACTGTGGTTTTAGCTTATTTGATTCAAGCTCCGGCCTGTTCTCTCCTGTGGCTCGGTGGCATACACTGTTTAGAACCCGACTGTCTAATTCAAACAGCAAAATTTCTGCGCAGCGTGATTTCTGCGCATTCTGAAAGTAATAGTGAAGAAATGCAAGAAAACACACATAAAGATGAGAGTTGTTCTGTTATTGTAGTTTGGCTTGAAAATATGTATTCGTGCTGTCATTTGTCATTGGCAAATTTGTAGGATCAAAACCAGAGGAAAGAGTTAGCCTATTGTAGAGGTTGAGTTGTTATGACTCAATTATAATGATGGCAAGCAACAACACGATTGACGGTGCCTCATACTTCCGTACACTCTTGATCACAATGATTGTGCTGAAAAAGTAAAGCATACAATACTTACCATAAGAACCTTACTGATATTTCAAACAATCCAGGGAAAACAAGATCATCCGAGGCTGCCAACCATTTTCTGCCAAAAAGTCGAATTGCAGGCATCACTTGCTCTTCTTAAAAGAAGAGGAAATCTGAAAAAGAAAATAATACATTTTAATTATTTCTGGTTTTTTCATTTTCTTGTTCGTGAATATTTAAGAAATATAAATAAATTTTAATAAGTGCTGATCGTGAGTAAAATAATTACTATACCTTATAATTAAATGATCAAACATTTTTTTTTATGACGATTCCACGTATTATATTATATAAAAAAAATTTTTGTTAATCATCACGTTGAAGGTAAAAGTAAAATCCCAACATATTTTATAGAAAGTGAAACCGCTGACCAGACGAAATTTCTTTTCGTTGATCCTTATGTAACATCAATTTTACCGGACATACCACTTTCATCTCGTTTAGAGTCCTCCCAGAAATTTATATTCGAAGGTCGAAACAAAATTAACTAACAAACAAATCGACTTTTAAAAAAGTGATATTCTTACTTTTATATCAACTTTATGTATTAATATTTCTCTCCTGTAAATGTCAAAGGATATAACCCAGTTTTGAGCTGTTCCCAGGATCCGGGAAAACCACCCTGAGCAGGTCAATGCTTCCAGGGTTAAGGTCGGAAAGGATTGATCTATACTGTACGAGGTCACACGTTGACCTTTCATCCGAAATAAACCTGTAGGTTTATTCCTGGAATAACCAAAACAAAATCTATTACAATTTCGTTTTCATTTATAATTTCAAAACAAACATAATCAACAAAAGGTTTTTACGGCTAAATTGGGGTGCATAAACTACAAGTTGGGGTGAATAAGTCAATTAAAATAATAATAAATTGAAAAAAAAAAGTAAAGATGTCCTTTAAAATTTGTTGGAATGAAAGTCGTGAATGTATGGTATTTGTGTATGTATACAGATTACATGAAAAAAAGTGGATCTTATGGAGGTGTGCCAAATACCAGATTTAACTGGAGCTTGCTTAACCGGTAAATGGTACGTTGTCTCGTACGGTTAATGGCCACATTTACTTTTATAAAAGTTGGAGTATGAAATTGACGCAATAAAAGTGGAATTATAGTAGAATTTAACATTTGAATGTATCAATGAATTTTACATTTTATATTGAAGTAATGTTTAAAAATTTCAAACATAATTGATTATGACAGCTGTCAAAACAATGCGTTTTTGGAGAACAAGCTGTCGGAATTAGGTCAACTTATACAGGTTTTTGTGTAAGCTGCAATTTTAACAAGATTATTTAAGCCATAAAAAGATATAAACATTAAATATTGAAACAGTCAGAATAAATTAATGATTGAAATTAAAATTGATCTTGTTGCCAACTTAAATCTAGTGATTTTGAAATCATAATTTAATAATTTAAAAATGAAATACATTATTAAAATGAATTATGTATATGATAGAAAAAGTAAAGTAAGCAAAAACTAACCTTAACATTCAATAGTTCGTCTTTAAATAATTTGCTATCATATTTAAATACAATTTGTGTTAAAAGTTTTTTTTCAATGAAATATCCTCATTAGGTAATGAATTATATGAAAACTTCGATGATATTTTTAATATAATATGCCAACTTAATTCATTACATTCAGAATAAAATGACTTTAATTACCCACGAGCCAGTAATGTGTTGTTTTTGTTTGAAAAAAAAATTAAACTTTCTATTTTAGAGTGTAATAGCAAATTGTAATAACAAAAAAAAAGTAAATTATGTCGAATGAATAAATCAAAATGAAATTCGCAAATATCCTTGAAAAAATTAATACCTTATTTTCCGGATACACTTCTAAAAAATACAGGAACATAAGTTCAGAGTAGAGTTAAGAGTACAAGTAAAAAAAATTGATGTTATTAAGTTATTATCATCATTGCCATATTATTAATGCGTCAGTTCAGGATTGAGACTTATTTGAGGTGAAATGTCAAGAAGAGAATGTTTACCATAAGTTGATTACCTGAACTTTGATTACTTGAACGAAATTTGGAAAATTTACGACTAAAGATGTAATAGTGTTTGTAACAAGCTGAAACGTCGAAACTTCTACTTTAAATATTGCAACATACCGAAGAAAAAGACTTTTACGAATAGACAATATTCAATGACTAGTTAATTTTTTATATAAATGACAAAGTAAATAAACAACGTTCGATAAGAGAGAGAAAGTTCACAGTATGTCGGAGCATTTGCGTGATTCTAAAATAGTGAATGTCTATGTGGTATCTCGCGCGAAGGTGCATGAACCACACTTTTTGGAAGAAAATACAGTTATGGGAGCTACATATTATCAAATGTTGATTGGTTAGTTGATGGCTTAATCCTTTTTATTATTTTCCAACAAGGAGGAACACCATCTCAGCGGCATAGTGTTCTTAGAAACTATTTAGACAAAACATTTCCGCACCATCTAGATAACTGTGTTTTCGTACGGTGGGATAATTAGTTTTGGATTGATGCCTATTTTTTTTGTAATAATCCTCTATACAACAACATGTTTATGAGAAATTACTGGAAAGCATATTGGCGTCCTTCAACGTTTTTGTATCGAAATTTCATCACATAATATGTATTATAAGAAAAAGATTTTTTATAAAATACGCTATTCTATGTAAGCGTTAAGAACTTTACAATTGGTAATGCTATTCTCCAATCGCTCTACAGTCATTTTACGATTCGGATTGAAGTCGGATCGAAACCGACCTATACACTTGGGATTTCATGTTATATTGGTCCCAATGCTCCTAACATCAATAAAGATTTCGCTCGAACTTTCAGCTATATAATAGTAAAGGAGAATCGCACAGAATATAGAACGCTAAGATAACGATTACGAAAACCGAAATCGATCTGAGTTTTATTTTTGGCTTCCACATTTATCACCAAGAAATCTCTATATGAAAACACTAAGCTGGTTCATGAAAGTGCGCAATGCCAAATTATCTTAATGATGTATATAAGCACAATATAATCGTGTAACCTACTGTTTTAAGACCTTCAAACGAATGCTGAAATGATATCACAAGGAACACTCCAACTAGAACCCTATAATCTATCAAACTTCTACATTGCAGAATGTTTTCTTATAGAAGACATTCTGCAGCGAAATTTAGCGTCATAGAGTCTACGACACCGCGTACATTAAAGATAGATGCATCTTTCTCTAGAGTAATTGCCAAAAATATACCGTTAATATAGAAGACCAACATGAAGAGAAAGAGGAATTGTATGTTGTCTTCAATGTAATAGAGGGGTTGAAAAGGATCTAGGTTGTCGTAATGCACAAGTTCTATTTTCTGGGTTAAAATGTTAAAAAAATTAAATTATTATTTATGCTAAAATGTGTTGAATATCCAATATATATTTATCCAGCTTAGTTGTCTATCCAAATTTAGATAAAATTAAATGAAATGTATTTAAATAATTAATTATCTTAAAAGATCCTAATATCCTAATCGACTTACCTGTTAATTAATCGTCAACAAACTGGTTTTAATAAACATTTTAGACCCATAAAATTTGGTACATCTGATAAATAAATAATCAATTCAAATAGTTTAATTTAAATAAACAATGAATAGTTTAGTTGATATGGTAAGATTGTTTTTATTAAAAAAATAAGAATTTAAATAAAAAAGGTGCAAGTCATAATAACTTACTCGTTTTTTATCGCACTAAACAACAAACTCGATTATAACATTCTCTCTGCTATCATATATTTTAATAAAAGAAAAATTAAATGATTTCTTATTATATTGATCTGTTATCGTTTAAAATTTATTATCTTTAAACAATAGCCAATGTTTCTTTAAAGTAAGTTTTTTAATAGATAAGCTACATAAAATTATGTTCGATTGTTATCGTTACGATTACATCAATATGAAAATTTTGCGTTTAAAATAGAATCGGTTTATTTGAAAAAAAAGTTAAGAGGGTCTTTTGATTATTTTCTACCAAAACCGTTTTGTTTAACAATATATCATGGCAGAAACCGTTTGTTTTCTTAGGTCTTTCGAACCCTCCAAACAAATTTATCCCAAATTTATCTCATAAAATTTTTTATTCCAATTCTTTTTTTAGTTTTTTCTAAATAAAAATATAAATAAATATTGTTTTTATTTTTATAAGAGCTCGTTTTAATCTATTTAAATTTAATTTGCAAATTCATTCATTTACAAACATAAAAACGACAGGTGTTCCCTCGGTTCCACCACATTAATTATGTAAAAACACGAAACCGTTCAGTTTGAACATACAAATATAAATTCCATTGGAGGAATTTTTCCATATTTATCCAATGTATACTTACACGTATATATAACTATTCGGTTATCTATAACCATAGTATTACGACCAAATACACGCAATACATGTGTTGTAACAACTATAAATTAAACAATTTTTCCAAGTTCTTTTCTTCAAATCCATTAACAGTTTAAACCACTTTAACTTTCCTTTGTACAATACTGTGTTTTTGCACACGATTATATAACCACAAATTAATTTGCATATATCTTTTCTTGCACATGTAAATTGGTTATAACAAAATTTTAAGCTATAATTCTTGTACTGCCAAAATTAAATATCAATTGAATAATTTTAAATATTAGAACAATGAATAATATAAAAATTTGCTATTCAATCAAGTTTTTTATATTCATATCGGATCACGTGAAATCGTTTCTCAAACGGATTGATTAAATTCCATTTGGTTTAATTGTTGCCAATAATTCAGATGTTGGCATCATGATTCATTCAAAATGAATAACGTACTAAAAGAGTTTTATAAAAAACTTTCACTTTTTACGGTGTCTATATTAATGTGATCTTTATTAAAAATATTGCACTTATATTGTAAGTGAAATGCAGTAAAACCTCGATAAATATCCGTTATAGATAAAAGTCCGTTATATTAATAACTTTAATACACACAAAATCTCTTAAGACAGGTATTTAGTGCTTACCTAATTCTCACTCCCTCCATATCAACCTACTTCCCAAAAACCACAACAATTGGGGATCTATTTCTTTGCTAACAATATCTAGGCGTCTGCAAACTGTATCTGATCTTCTAATAGCAGTGTTTAGTCCTTTGCAACCTGTAAGTAGTCTTCTGGATCATTTCGGCAGTATCCACTCTTTTGCCAGGAAAATGTAGACTGCTATAAATAGTGCATAGTCTTTTGCAAGCAATATCCAGTCTCCTGGCTGTAATTACTTTTATGCGAGGAATGTTCACCATTCTGTATGTAGTCCTTTTCACACCCTTCAGATCAACCACTTCCCAAAAACTACAAGAATTCGTACAGTATGTAGTCCATTGGAAGCTGTAAGCAGTGTTCTGGAGCAGTACCCAATCTATAAACTCTTCTGCCAGGAGAATGTAGACTGCTACAAACAGTACCTAGTATTCTAACAGCAGTAGTTACTTTTCTGCTACGTCTTCTGTTAGCAGTATCTAGCTCCTTGCTTGAAATATGTAGTCCTTTGCTGTTGACACAGTTAAAAAAGTTAAAAACTTGTCAACACTTGTAAGACAAGCCGATTTATTTTTCCACCACCGCCCGGTAATTAACCTAGAATTAGAAACATTCGGATTTGGCTGTCGTAAGAGACGCACGGCATCCGATGTCCGTTTTAACGAGGTTGTACTGTATTTCTATTTTCTTTGCGAATGGTGAAAGTAATCGGTATTGAATTTATAATCACACAATATTGGTTTCAACAAAATTGTTTGTATCCGTTGGTGATATTAATAAATTCCTTAGATCTGACCTGATCTAGATCTAAACAAAATCATTTTTACTTTTAATTAATTAAAAAATGTATTGAAAAGAAAAATAAACTTTCGCCTCCTTTCTCTGAGAATACAGAATAATTACAAAATAGAAGCGGTTATGCATGACATATCTCGAAAGAATCTCTCGATCTACGTTTACATACTTTCTTTGTAATTTTTTCAAAATTGCTTTGCTACTACACGCCGTGTCTAATGAGCAAGCGTATCCTAAGAAAACGGTATTGTTACGAAATGAAATGTGCTTACAGATGCATTTTCTGTTGAAATGTCAGCATGTCGTGGAATTTTATCCTACTTTCTCAAGTGTTGGAACAACAAGCGAAAGAAATATAATTCAAAAAAAACCTTCGTATTTGATTATGTTTGTTATCCTTGAAGGTGACTAATAAATTTTGTGAAATACCTGAATATAAATAAGGTAATAAAATAAAAAGGAAATAGAAAATAAACAAAGCAGCATAAGTGTTGTATTTAAAAGGATTCAAAAAGTCTTCTTTTCATCCTGTTACAGGTTAACGATTTTTTTATGTTTAAAAGAACTATTTCATTAATAGCTTTTTATGGATTATAAAAGATAGGCGGATAGACAAAGAGAGCAACTAGGTTCAAACGATGTTCATTGAAATAATAGGCTGGTGTCTTCTTCGATCGATTTTTTAGACAAAACATATACATCTCAAAATAATGCCATCTCTCAACCTAGAAAATATGTAATATGTATGTAATTTAGTGCATCTAAGTCAATATGTCTCCGAAGAAGTTCCAATATTATCTCAGTGTTGGATCATAGCTAATTTTTTATAAAAACAATCAGAAGTAGAAACATGTTTTCAGTTCACCACTGTATTCAAGTAATGGTGTTAAATTCAATGTACCAACGAATTACTTCACTGGTAAAGATCCCACCAATCATAGCAATAAACACCACAGCAATAAAAACGGGGAACCGAATGTCAAAAAAATATATCAATAGCAGATGGTATCAGGCATGGAGATAACCATAATAATAAATTAACAAAGTCAAAGCAGACAAAGTATACTCACTCTGTCAAAATCACATGCTGACGACGCTGTACTTATTGCTGAGGACGAGGACGATTTGCATATTTGTACAGAAAACGAAATTCCTCGAAGTTGTAAGTTAGCCGTCTACAACCAGACAGTTAATCAGGTAATGATCTTTAAATAAATATCTAATAAGTAACTTAGCGGCACATATTACTACTCATATTTTCATAATTAAGTGTTAAAGCTTTCTCGATCGAGATTAGATAAAATGAGATGCAAAAATTTAATGAGCAGAAATCACATTGCATCAATATCTGCTAAGGTCATGGCTATGCTTAGTTTTAACTACATAGTTGGATTCCTCGAGTCCATGCCAGTTCTGAACTGATCGTTAAATGGCAGCAGAAGAAAAATTATTCTATCGACTGAGAATCTTTACCTTGAAAGCCTGCTGCGAATGTTGGTACAACAGGTGCAACGTCTCTACATGGCTTTCTCCTGAAATATCCATAGAACTCGAGCACGTATGCAGAAAAGAAAATTTACCTTAGATCTCCCGTTGGAATCTTTACATCCAATTTTACATCCTTTTCAATGAAGCTAGCAGAGAATCATATAAAGGTGCAACTAATCAGTATATTTGTAAAAACACAAAATGTCATTATGGCAATTTCTGCGTACTCTTTAGTTGGTTCAGAAAGCCGTTAGCTTTTAATCTAAACGAACTTCTTTCGTTGCCTATATGTTATTTCCATGTAAACATTTTCACCTTTTAAATAGTAGAAGATGATGTCCCCAAGTGCCCAGGAATGACTCCCCAAATCATTTCAACGATTTTCAAACAATTTTAATATACCAATCTTTATCAATTTGGATTTCGTAAACATAGCACAGGTCTCTGCTGTCCACCATTACTTTAATAAAGTGTTGGTTATGTCAATTAATGAAAGTTATACTGTAATTGTACCAAAATATCAAGACATCATACTAAAATTTCGTAGAAATTACATAATTGGTGTTATTGAACATATGGTTAGCGTGATGGAAATTCTTTTAAACAACAAAAATTGGTTTAACTATCTTATTTTATGTATTACGTAACTTAGTTGTTTCACTACAATAATATTATAGTGAACAGAGAAATTATACTTTAATAACTTTACTTCCCTGTTTTAAAGTTGTAACGAGATCCGAAAGATTTTCATTTTCTTTTGATTTTATCGAGCGATACGGTAAAACAAGGAAATGTAATTATTTTCTGGAAGTTAATAGGACAAAACGAGTTCGGTCAATTTGCCGGTTTGATCATGACGTACAAAATGTGTTATTAAATCTAATTAGAGACATTGTTATAAGATAATTAAACGTAATTCTTACGTAAATAATCGATGTTTTGGTTTTTTTAAGTTTATAAATTGAAATTTCTGATTGTAACGTTTAAATGGTGATGTAAAGTAATTAAGTGGTTTTTATTTAAATAAATTGCTTAGATTTAACAAAAAAGCATGGTTTTATAATGTTGACCAAATAAATGTTTATTTAGAAACCATCAAGTAAACAATAATAAAATCACATAAAAAAATCTCCTTTCTTAATAACTTTATGTGTCATACTTACTCAAATTACGAAGGCAACTTCCAAAGATACCTCGTAGCACTTATACAAAATTACGAAGAAAATTCACTGCTTAAAAAATCACCGATCATTTTTAATAAATAGTTCCATCTGATCAAGATTTGTCATCATAATCATTCTTATTTTACTTTCGATGTAGTATTGAAAGATTCTATTTTGTTGAATTATTAGAATAAAGTTATTTACCCGTAAACCGAACCAGTTTTTTCTATGTTATTAGGTATAAGCGCGCGAACGTTACGATTTCTGGCTACCGACTGACACCTGTTCCGGTTTGGACGATCAGCCAAGAACGAGGCCCCACCGATACAAGAGAAAGACGACAAACACAAAAAAATGATATTGCGCGGCCCCACTACGTTGTGCCGTGTGCTATTCACTTTAAGGAATTGCTGCTGCTGTTTCGTTTGAAATTGCAACCATTTGGCCTAAATAAAACCATGCAAAAACTTTTACAATATTTAAAAATTGTAAATTTAATAAAAATATATGTCTTAAATCATAATTTAACACTTAATTAAGTCTCGTAATTATAAATAAACTAAAACAAATTGACAAAATAGATTAAAACGTCAAGTTTGACACAATGAAGAAACTAAAATGTCAAAAAGTTACAGTTTTAATAAAAATAAAATTATAATTTGAGCTTGCAGGCTGCCACTCCGTATGTGATCAGTGTGATCACAGTCACATAGAGCCTTAGAGTCTTCCTTTATTGTGTATCTTACTGGACTTAATAATAAAATTATTTAATAAACATGGGTTCAATTTATTATAAATAACAAGACTGACAAAACTGTCAACAATGACAGTTTCAACATGACATTTCTCATATATCTTAATTTTAATACTAAGTACCAACTATCAATCATTAAATTTTACATCATTAATATCAAAAGGAACTGTTTAAAAATATAGGTTTAACATTTAGATTTATGAATTAAAATAAAAATAACAATTTAGATTAAAAAAATACACATTATTGTTTTTTGATGTTTTATTATTAAATGTCTTTTAATTGCTAGAAATTAAATGATTGATGTACATATAAGTATTTATTCTACCGATTATGATCTTAAGTTTTATAGCATCGGTTATTCTTTCTTCCAAGTTCTTTATAGCATTTTCCAGCTTATTGTATTGCTTAAATTTAGAAGTAACACTTTAGAAGATAAGCTATCATCCCAGCAGATGGAAAGACGTTCGAAATAGGGTTATTGAAATTCTAGGTTGATTTGGGTTCGATAAAGTTACGTTTCAAGTAACTTAACCATAGAAAACCATGCGGATTCCGCTTTAATAATACTTTATGTTCGTCAAATTCGCAGTGATTACTGATAAGTCTGATCACACATCATAAAAAGCAGAGTGAAAACGCTTTCCTTTCCAGCAACTCATATACTATCCCCTGTGTACGGTTTTTACTTAAAAAAAAAATAAGTATTGTTCAGTTACAAACATTTTTGCACCAGAAGAGATACATGCTATGATGTTTTGGATGCACAAACATAGAGATGATTACTCTGTCGAAATTTGAATATAACATATCTCTTTATTTTACCCAAGAAATTCTAGAGAATTGCTTGATAATTAGTTAATGATTTGAGAAAAGCCGTCTTCAACTACAAAGTGTGATGTATTAATAATAATTTTCACTAACTTAATTAATTTTATTGTTAAAACTACCAAATAGGCAACCCATATTGCCCAAATAAAAATATTTTATTTTCTATATTAAATAAAAATATTCAATATTATTTGTTCAACCAACATATTTACAGCAATAAACATTTAATGAAAATCTCATGTTTATTTAAATAATTAAAGAAGAAAATTTTTTAAATGTTGATAAAAACATTTACCTTCCCATAGATATAAAACTATATAGAGCAGTCGTCACAACTTTATTTTCTGTGATAATGTTTAAATTAAATTACAACAATCAAAATGACTGCGTAATATTAATAATAAAATCATTAAAAAGATTTTTACAATATAATAAAACGTATTAGTATAAAACAGTAATTCGAGCAATCACTATAATCTACTTTCAATGGTGAGAAATGTCAAAAGAATTATCTACTTTCTTTGCACCCGTCAGCCATTAGTTGGTCGCTGAGTGTTGTTGATCGCTAATTAGTAAACAGTTTAACGAGCTCTTATCATTATTTCTAGCATTTTAAGTAATCCTCGTTATAAGATTTACATTTATTTGATTCGTTTTGATAAAGAGAAGGTATGTAATCCGTAATTTACGTAATAATACTTAAGTTATGTTCGGATAATATTCGGGGCTTACCCTTTTTATATCAGTACGATTTGGATTATGTTGAGATACGTAAAAGGCAAGAGATAATCAGTGTTAAATAGTACTTTGTCCTCTCGTTCTTAAATTAAACGGCTTTAATTTGATTTAAGTAAGTAAAAGTTTGAATTAATTTTATTTGTTTTTGCAAAAAATCAATGATTTTTTGTTGTAACACCAGTTATGTTATCTACTATTGTTTTGATATCATATCAACTACATTTAGGGTTATTCATATGTGATTTTGTAATTAAATAAATATTTTTTATTGTTCATAGAATGGCTGCAAAAGATGATGTTGAAGATTTAACTTCAAATTTTCGCGAAATGTCAGTGGAAGAAGATGACATCAACATTTTATTATTAGGAGAGACAGGAGTTGGAAAATCTACCTTCATAAATTCATTCACAAACTATTTACAGTATCGTTCACTTGATTTAGCTGAAAAAAGTGAATTAAAATGTCTTATTCCTGCAAAATTTGAAGTTGAAATTGAAAAAGATGGTAAATTGGAACGACACACTATTTCGGTCGGTAGTAATAAAGATACAAATGAAAACAGGAATATTGTTACTGCTGCTACACAAGGTGTCCGTTCATATGTTTTTCCAGTACCAGATTTCAATAATAAAAAAGTACGAATAATTGATACCCCAGGAATTTGTGATGATCGAGGTATTGAACAAGATAAAACAAATTTAGAAAACATTTTATCCTATATTGGACGCATACAAACGTTACATGGAATTTGCATTTTATTGAGACCAAATGTCGCCCGTTTAACACCTGCTTTAGAATATTGTATAATTCAATTGCTTTCAAAATTGGAAAAATCAGCTGGAGAAATTATAACATTTGTATTTACTAATTCTCGAGGTTCTTCTTATAAACCTCAAGATTCTAGTTCTGCTATACTCTCTCTTTTGGAAAAAATTGCAATGAAGCCACCAAATGTAGTAATTAAATATGACATGGACAACATTTTCTGTTTGGATAATGAGAGTTTTCGTTATTTAGCCGCTTTAAAACAAAATCATGATACAGGGGATAGAATTTTAAAGAAGCAAAGTTGGGACAAATCTTCAGATGAATGTTATCGATTAATCAAATACCTTATAGGCGAAGGTCCTAATAAACCAAAGCCTCATGATGTTAGGCGAACAATATCTGTTAATACGGCACGTCAAGTAATTATGGAACTTTCAAGACCACTTGCAGATATAACCGAATTGATCGACGATAACTTAACAGCATTGCGAAACCATCAAAAACTATTAAAACAAGAAGTTAAATCAATTGATGATTTAAATGGAAAATTGTATGTTCCTGTTATTGATTTGGAACAGATTGAATGTCCAAAACCTAAAACTGTTTGTCATAATAGTAAATGTTGTGAAAAATATTCTGTAAGTTAACTTAAGTGACACATGGCTAAACCCAAATGTTTTTAGCTGTAGGTTTTTTAGCTATTTACTTTGTCCAACATAAAATGCAAATGAAATAGTTCTGTTTGTCGCCATTTTGGCTAGAAAATCAAGCGGGAAATTTAAAACTATGTCGTTTTGTTGATAAAATTACGAAAAATTTCCTTTTTTTTGTGGTACCATAAAGAGTTGAAATACAATATAATATGTATATTATAGAAGGTCATCATGTCGGTATAAACTGCCTCTTCTAAAGTCCGTAGATTTACAAAGTACCGCGGTTCATGAAGCCTGTTTTCGAGCCAAAATGGCGGTTTGACAGCTAGTCACTGCATCTCACCACTTATTTACAAAAATATTGCCGTCTTGTTGCCTTTGGAGTTGCAAAAATGGCAGTAAGAAGGACTTTCGACTCTTAAGAGTATTACGAGAAAAAATAGAACGACATAGTTTTAAATTTCCCGCTTGACTTACTTTAGCCTTTAGAGGAGGCTAAAGTCCCTAGATTTACAAAGTACCGCGGTTTGCCGCCATTTTGGCTCGAAAGTCAAGCGGGAAATTTAAAACTACAAACCAAAACATTACGCCAAACTTCCTTTCATTTTTTCTCGTGGTACTCTGAAAAGTCGAAAGTCCTTCTTACAGGGTGGTTCAGTTTTTATTCGGGAAACTTTACTAGGATGTAGTAGTTGCCTAAATAATACAAGTTCTTTATATAAACATAGGGTCGCTCTTTTGTTTTCGATCTATAAGCGATCAAAGTTGAGCCAAGAATTTACGTTTTGTTTTGTATTTCAGCTATAAGTAAACCGTAGAATTTGAAACTTTGTACGTATTTACTACTGGTTAAGACCTTATTTTCAAGGATACCTTAAACTTCTCTAGCGCCCTCTAAGGTCATGAAATTCACCACCTCCTTGATTTTTTTATAAGAACTTTTTAACGCTATGGAATATTAACATAAAAAAATAATGGGTTGTAAAGCTCATTATTTAGTGGTACTTTTGTGTCTCTTTAGCATTTTCCTTAAAGTTAATAGTTTCCGTGTAAAAAAATAAAATATCGGGTCATGTACCCATATGTGCCGCCATGTGTAGTTAAAATTATTCTAAAAGTTGGCTCTGAGAACATGTAAGTTTCATTTACGGTGAATCTTGATAATTGTTGATGATTATTAATAATTTTTGACTGTTATTAAGAAAGAGTATCAATTTTTTAATATTGTTTAAAACACTTATTTATGGTTTTTCTTATTAAAATCATAATTAATCGTTATTTAGTTAGTACTAGATCCTAGTAAGTTTACAACTTCCATAGCCAGCTATAAAGAAACAATTTTTTTTAATGATAGCAGCACTTTACAGTACAATGTAGCCTATTTTATTTTTTTACGCTAAAACTATTAACTTTAAGGAAAAAACTAAACAGACAAAAAAGTACCAATAATGAATAAGCTTTACAACCCATATTTTTTATATTAATAATCTATGGCGTTAAAAAGTTGTCATAAAAAAGTCAAAGAGGTTGTGAATTTCATCCCCTTAGAGGACGCTAGGGAAGTTTAAGGTATGGTGAAAATAAGGTATTAACCAGTAGTACATACATACAAAATTTCAAATTCTATGGTTTACTTATACCCGAAATAAAAGATAAAATGTAAATTTTTGCTTGGAAACTATTTTAATGTTTTTCTCTGCTACCATTACAATTAATTAATGATGATGTAGTGTACATTCATGGATTCAGAAAAATATCTATTCAATAACATGAAGAAAAACATACCGAGCAATTTGAAAATCAAAAGTTGATAATCGCTTGAAATTGAAGATGGCGTTGGAAAAAGTTTATTTGTAGCATGAATCATACCTTTTCATTTGATAGCTCATGAAAATCGGAATGTAAATGACAGAGTTACAGCCTGCGGCATTCTTGTGTGACAACCTGTATAAACCTTGGGCAGCGCTAGTTAATATAAAATATCACTATGTTGCATATTTTTATTGAACTAAATCTAGAGCTAACACTAGAACTAGAATCAATCGAATTTAGTCGTCTTGAGAGACGTGCGGTTAAACCCGAATGTTTCTAGTTCTAGGTGTAGCGTTAGTTCTAGTTTTAATTGTTATTCGATGCTAGATTGTTGTATATTTTTATTGAACTAAAAGTAAAACTAACACTAAACGTAGAACTGGAACCATTCTGGTTTAGCCGTTTTAGTTGTTATTAGCAGTTTAGCTGTCTTAAAGAATGGTTTCCATTTTTATAAATAATTTTTAATAAATTTCAGGTTGGGGACATAACAAAATTACATTATAAACAACGTTGTCATGATCCTTGTTTCCTAACAAATGTTGCACGAGAAATTGTTGGTGATACTGAGTTAAAACATTGTGCAGCAATGGATCATACTGGTAAGTGTAAACTTTGTGGTTGTGATTTTTCGGCCCACATGCACATATACTACGAAACAAGAACAGTAAATGGACAAATTGAAGGGGAGGGAATTCGTACGCAAATCAATGACATGACCTTAGGAATGAAAGAGAGACAAAAAGTAATTAAACAAATAGAAATAGAAATGAATGAATATGAAAAAGAAAAGGATATTATAATTAAATCAATGGCAAAGTTTGCCCATTTCCTTGAACGAAATGCTATTACACCATTTAATGATGCTTATCAAAATTATATTAAAATATTAATTGCAAGGTAAGATACATGAAATAAAATTATTCTTTTTAAGTATTTTATTTAAAAAATTTAATTTTTATCTCAGAGAAAGAGGTCGTGGTCCTGAGTGTAATCTTCAACAAATTAAAAATTTAAAAGATATGCTGAATCAATATAATGAAGAAAAGAAGATTTTACAAAATGCGCTCAATACCCCTGTGGTTGGTCATTTAAAACCTAATGATATCACCCCTAATTTGATAATAAAGGAAATTAAAAATTTGTTTTCATTAAATAAAATGGGTGAAAAAATAAAAAATATGCATGAGATGCAAAAGAAAGGTGAAGCGGTTGAACATAGAAATACAGAGTATGTATTACCTCAATCGAAAAATAGTGGTTTAAAGAGAAATACTCACCAAGCTCCTAGAGGAAAAGGTAGCAATAAAGTTAATATGATCCACGAAGATGGTAAGTTTAAAAATAACAAAAAAACTGGTCAAGACAAATCGTTTCCTCGGGATAAAATGCAAAATTTTGGGAGAAATTATCAAAAACAACAACAAAATCATTCAAATCAAAAGGGATATCAACAAAAAAACTGGAAAGAAAAAAATACAGATTCTACTCAAAATCAATTTCCTAGGACACAAAATCAGAACCGTACACAACAACACAATATTCCTCCTTTAATGCAACCAAATCAATTTCCGCCTAATTTTTATCAAGGCTTTCCTATTAATTTCCAAATGCAACCTCCTCCACAATTTAATTATGCGCCTCAATTTCCATATCCAAATATTCCCCCGAACGCTTACCCACCAAATCCTCATTGGAATAATTATCCACCAAATCATCAACTGCCAAATTTGTATCCTAACGTGCCAAATTATCCTCAACAACCTCCAAATTCACAAGAAAAAACTCAAAATGTTCCCATGAATAACATGGAACATCCTTCCTTTCAAAAAGAGAAAAAAGATAAAAGCCATGATTCAAATTTGTTTTATGAGGAATTGTATTCAAATAATTCTGATAATCAAAAAACTGAAAAATCGAAGCAAAAATATGGAAATAATTATAGGGATGATAATAATAAGGTACCAAAGTATCAGGATAGTGATAGCGACAATGAAGGTGCTGCTAAATTTGATAAGTTTAGAAAGCAAAAAGGAAATGAGAACTATGCCGATTTATATGGCGATGATGATGATGATGATGATGATAAACCTACTGGAAACAAGATTAACTCACTTATGAGTGGATTTAAAAATCTATTCAATTGAAAAGGTGTAAAGTTCTAAAGAACAAGATAAATATGAAATATGAATGGACTAGAAAAGTGCCTTATGTTATGTAACATTACTTGTATTGTGTTTTATAAGCATATTATTTTGTAGAATGTGGAGTCAATACATGTATATTCTAATAATCTTGTTTTTATGGACTAGTACCAATTCGTTATTTAAATATGACTTAAGACTCTAATTTATTATTATTAATCATTCAAAGTTCATAATCATGAAAACTGGTTGAAAAAATCTATTTAAATGTTTGTAAATAAGTTCAAATGACTGTTACTGATTGGTAATAATTCAATCCTCCTCTATTTCTTAAATAATTATAATTATGCTGGAAATTGCCACATAGTTTTAATTAACTTAGATATTTCAGTTTTAAATAAAACGCTATTAACATTATTGATAACATTAAAAAACAAATTTAATTTCATTAAAAAATTAAACAATCAGATAAAGGTTTTATAAAAAAATTAACGGTTTATTGCACAGTTGAATAAATACAAATACAATTAAATAAAAAAAAATCTATAAATCGATTGAAAAATGTTAAAAACAAGATCTTTTTGTTATCTTGAACTTTTTCTTTCCAATCAATTTCGTTTATTAATCGAAATATAATTCGATCGTTTATAATTCTTTTTCAACTACATCAATTTTGGCACTTGGTGTCCGTTTTAATTTTAATTTTTAATGTTACTTTTCCCTTTAACACACTATAATTAATTGTATTGTATGTATATTTGACACAACGTTCTCTCCTATAATTTCTATTATAATTAAAATCAATTAAGTTCTAATTTTTTTTTCTTACTTGAAAATATTAAAAAAAATTAATAAATCAGTCAGTAAAAAAAAGTTCCATTCTGATAAAACGCGTAGATATTGTTATGATTAGTAAATAAGTCAACATTTTATGCTACTAAAATCTTCAAAGTTGGCAACATATTTTTTATTAAAACTTAATTGATTATTGTTATCTCTAACATCCTTTTTTTTCTGGTAACTTTATTTGTCCACTTCTCTTGGAGGATCACTAAAAAATGATGATGATAATCTTAATAATTTTGGATACATTTAAGATTTTTACCTGTAATATCGTACAGATTTCATTCTTAGAGCTGTAGAATTTTCTTTGCATTTATACGCCAAAACCTGTTTTATTCTGCTTACTTCCACCATTGGAAATCTAGTTGCTACGTATGCTGCCAATAAAAAAATATCACCAATTTCTTTTATGTTATCATTAATTACGGGTTTAGACGACCGTCTCTCAAGATGGCTAAACCCGAATAATTCTAGTTTTAGGTCTTGTGTTAGTTCTAGTGATAGTGTAAAATTAGAATTATCACTAAACCGAGAATTAGAAACATTCGGGTTTAGCCACACGTCTTTCAAGACGGCTAAACCAGAATGATTCTAGTTCTAGGTTTTGTGTTAGTTCTAGTGATAGTGCTAGTGCAATACTAGAACTAACACTAGACCAAGAACTAGAAACATTCGGATTTAGTCGTACTTCTCTTAAGACGGCTAAACCCGAATGATTCTAGTTCTAGGTCTTGTGTTAGTTCTAGTTTTATTTGTTATTTAGCGTAAGATGGTTGCATAATTTTCTTGAACTAAAAGTAGAACTAACCCTAGAACTAGAAACATTCGGATTTAGCTGGGTCCTTATCGAATTCTTAAGAAGTTAATTTCTCTTACATATGATAGCTTGTACTTTTTTGCGATCCAAAGCCGGTTTAACCGGACGTTCATCGTTTCCGGCCCTACTCCATCGTTGTCCCGTAACAGAACACGTTGCTAACTCAGCGGGACTAAACAAAATCGTCGCCAAACCTCTCGTCAATTTTCGATAATCGCTCCATTTTACGCTACGTAGTTGATCTTCACAAATTTCAATTCCCTCCCCCAATTTTACCAAACGATTTCGTGTCGATGAAGACGATTGAGTGTCTGTAAAATCTGTACTTGTTGCATCTTGTTGATAAACTGGACTGGTATCGTTGAAACGATAAACGTACGGTGACCAAGAATCTGATGTTCTTCTTCTATGAATTTTTAACGTCCCTAAAGAAGATGTATTTGAATGATATGAGAAGTGAAACTGCCAAACTGAGTTAATTTCAATTTTAACCTTAAAAATTTAGTTTATTACAGTAAAACCTCGATATAATGGATTAATACGGTTACATGAATAATTTTAAAGCACACAAATTTGGACAGCTATCCACACATTTGCGTTCAGTCTACGTGGTTTTATATTCATAACAAGATCGGTGGTATCTAAGAAGAAGACCCGTTCGTGACGTCAGCGCTGAATAACAATTAAAACATCGTATAGACAAGTCAGGGAATACCCCGAGTTTATCTATGAACATGGAATGACCAACTTGGGGAAAAACCCGAGTTAGATTCTATCTATAAGCGCTAACATTTATATTTAAATATACTCATGTATTAAATAGATAACATTAATAGTATCACTTAAAAATTTTGATCGTTAAATCCGAAGTCTATTAAATCGAGGTTTTACTGTAACTTGTTAATGCTTAATTATTATATTGGTGGTTGTAATTAAAGTTGAATAATTTTGTAATTATGGCGTTTAATAGTTCTTATATAAGAAAAAATTGCACAATTTGTCTAATTTTATATAGGTTTCCGCTATACAAATCGCAAATATAAAGCGTGTTTATTTATGATTGAAAACCACATGATTTAAAATTCATCAATTCTTAATAAAAACAATTTTTTCATTTTCAAGTGGAATAAAATCACAACAAAAACCCTTTTAATTAAAAGATAACAAAAGTTTGCGTTTTTAATTGTTTATTTACGTCTTAGGAATAGTACTACTCTGATAACCGAGTTGACTTGTAACGGTTTTCGCGTGAATTATGGCTTTTTTTTGTTTAAATTTGTCCCCCCCGTTAGGTAATTTGCCGCCAATTTCGTGGGAGCCGAGCATGTGACGGCGTAGGTACAGGTCAGTCTTGAAGTCTTTCTGGCAGATGGGACACTGCACGTATGTAGGATAATGAATCAGTTTCATGTGTTGCCGCAAATTCGACAAGTTGCTGTACACTCTGCCGCATTCTTCGCAGGGCCGCGGGTCCAGCGAGTGGAGCTTTCTCGAGTCCGTGCCTGCAACAGATTTCCGGACCGGTTATTAATTTTTTTTTTTCTGTTTTATAATTTACAATGTTTCGAATTATATTTTTTCGTTGCAAGCACGCCCAAAACGACCACAACCCGCTGAACCCACAATTTGTTTTTTTTTGAGGACCTCATTCTCACAAATATCATACTTTTTTTTGGTTTTAAATCCATTATGAATAGTTATAACAAAAATTGGATCACATGGGTTTTAATCATTCATGAATCGGCTTTTATGTATTAATCTTACCTGTATTTACATCTACTGAATTATCCTTTGATGAATGAGCATTAGCTTGTGGTATGATTTCCATGCCACCTAACACAAAAAGGATTTTTTTATTAAACATAGATATATTAAATTATATTTTACCTGTTAAATCAGCTGCATTAGGCGAGTGTTGATAAAAATCTGAATTTTCATCTTTTTCCTCATCACTAATGTAATCTGGTAGTTCCACTTTAGGAATGACACCAGGACTTTTTGTCTCTATACCATCACCAACCACTCCATTTCTTTCAACATCCTCTTGTAAAGAAAATGGATTAACGCTAATCGCCTCCTCATTAAAAGTACTCAATTCCTTTAGCCGTTGCAAATCACTCTCAATCCTTTCATTTTTACACTGCCTTTTACTGGGCGGAGGTGAACCGATTTTATTAATATTATTATTATTATTAGCTGGCACATCTTGACTAGAAGTAACTGTGCTTGAAGATGACGACGAAATGTGCGACTTGTGAGCTATTCTTGAGTGTTTTAACGGAAAACTTGGGCCATGTTTTGAAGACGATGGTTTTGGGTTTAAGTACACAGTGTCCTAAATTTAAAACGGGGCCTGTTTTAAATGGAGTTCTTACATAAAAGGATATTAGATTTTTATATAGGATTCATATTAGATTAACTTACGTCGTCCCTTTCTTTGTAAGGTTCCGACGAGGATGTGTCAGTAAGACCACGAATTTTAAGTGATTCCGCTGTTTTTAAAAATGCAGATAACTGAGCTTGAGCAACGTTCACTTCGCCGGCATACATAAATTCCATTAAAGCTACTATGTGACGGGCCTCTACATCCCGCATGAATATTATTGGATGTGGACATGGATTAGTCTACAAATAACAAAAAAAAAACTTATCGTTTTATAAATCAATAAAAAAAAGGTTATATAACTTAATTCAAGTATTATCAACAAATTTATAATCAAGATTTATCTTAATTCATCATCAGATTTTAGATAATTTAAATTTGGCGCCACGTCTATATTTGACAGATGATTTACTGCCAACCTATTTCGGGGATATCGACAGCTGTCAATCTGTATACACATGCCTCACCTTAAACAATTCTTTAAAAAAGGGGCTACAGGCAGAAAGGACGACCTTGTGCGCTTGTAAACGTTGCCCGTCGCACGCGATCGTCACGTCCGTAAAGTCCTCGTCGTCGCGGAGCGCCTCAAATTGCGACGTGATATTAGCCTGGAAGTTGTTCCATCTTAAACAGAACTGTTGCTCGTCGGCGATGGACATCCTACACGTGCGCGGTTGGCCGGCGTTCGAAAACCCACCGTACACCAATTTCAATCACCGCCGCGATGCAAAAATATCGCGAAAAAACCGGACCATCTCAATCATAAAAATAAACCTTTTAATTTCAATCAATATCTTGCTACTTCTTTTCGCCAACCAAGAAAAAGAATTCCCCTAAATTACTATTTTAGAAATGTCATTAATATATTTTAATAGATTTAATTATTTATTATAAAAAAAATTAATGATGTTGTTCAAAAAAATGTAGTCATTTAATTTTTAATTTTTTTAAAATAATTATTAAATGTATAAAAAAAAGCGATATTTCAGAACAAAAAATATAATTCTAGTAACTTTTTTATACAAACAGTTGGTACTTCTGAAAAATAAAATAATTCGTTCGGTGACTGTCGGGAGGACGTACAAACTCAAAAATTAACCTTAATTGAAGTTGTTTAAAGGAAACCCGGTTCAAAACGCACAAATATAACTCCTATTAATTTAACAATTAGCCCCTCCTCACGCGGTTTGCGTCTTTCTTTACCTTTTTGTCTACATGTCACATAACCTAAAAGCAAGTGATTCAATACTTTCGAATACCTTACCCACCCCAAAGAGCGTATGGTTAAGAATGAAATGCCAAAACGTAAGTAATTTATCACATTTCAATCCATCTTTTATATAAATCGAGTCAATTTAAAGAATTCATTAAATAATAAAGTACACATAAAGTTACACATGTGAGTCATTCTTAATTGTAACGAAACCAGCTGATTGGGCAATACTAATTTTTGTTACAAGTTTTCTTTGTTGAGTTGGGTTATTTTAAATTGCGGTTTATTTAAGATTGTTTAAGTATTACAATAGGTTAGGCTAGGTCAAATGTGAAATCGATAGAGAGATGTTTTCGAAAAAAACGGAAACGTTACGTCCCCATTTTGCACCTGTTTATTATAAAATTTAGCTTGTGATTACGTAATGTTAAAAAAAACGTACTGGAAGAGAATTTGAATGCATCGTTTAATTTATTCCAATTATTTTTTTCGCCTAGGCAACCGTTTCAAGGTTAATAACTATATTATTTTCTTTCTCTATGAAGTTATACATTAAATTTAGTTGTAACATGTTATTATCATTTCGAATTGCAAAATGTTTGCCTAAGCATGAATGGTCTGATATAAATAACCGCATGGATATTTTTGGTAGACGGCACCAGTCTTTTCTATTCAGGAAATTCCATACGTTTAGGAAGCGATCTGAAAAATTTTAATACTTATTATAACATAGAATATTTTAAACTATTATTTTCTTAATGTTTTTAAGCAATCTGAGTATTTAATTTATCTTTATTAAGAAATTGTTTAAATAATCCGCTTTTTGATTTTGCAGATATTTTAAGTAACGTAATTTTTCACTTCTACAACATCATATAGAAAAGCACCTTTTTTGCAATTTGTCAAGTCTCCTGAATATTGGTTTTAAGATATTTAAGTAATCGTCTGCAAATCGTTTGGGATCAATATTAGATACTTTTTGGTATATTGAATCAATTTCCTTTGTGTTTTCTTCACATACTTTTGACAGTTTTTCCCATTAGCTTATACATGTATTTGCAAACAGTCCACCATACTGTTCCACCTCAAACACATCGTTTAAAACTATTACATCGGTATATTCAAGCCATATACTTATAGATCTAGGCAGGTGATTGTTTCTAAAATATTTCACAATTTGGATTACATGCTCTTTGACTTTAGTTACTTCAAGGTCTTTGCAAAGCAAATTTAGAAAGTGAGCTGAGCATCTATAAGTTACAACAGAACCACTAAAGCTTAAGCTTTTGATCTATGTCTTCTCATACTTATCATATTCGCTATCATCGTATAAATACATCACAAAGCAACACTAATCTAAATCTAATCTAAAAATATGACTAATTGCCGCTTCGAAAAAGTTGTACGGCGTATCCTGATGGCTGGCGCTTTCTATAATGTGGAGGAGTTTCTTTAACTACCACCTTCGGAGATGGAGTCATGTTTAGTTTTGTAAATTATATAATTATCTTTTCTATTTATATATATTGCTTGTGTTTTGTATATATTTATATTTTTCTCTTTTTCCTCTTGACGGTGCTTTATCTGTTTTATACTTTCTTTTATTACTTGTAAAACATTTGAAAGCTCAATAAATATTATTATTATTAAGTATTATCGGTTGCATTCATAGCCTCTTTCGCCTTTCTTCTCTCCTCAACTGCTTTCCAAGTTTCAGACGTGATCCATTCCTTTCTTTCCTTGTGCACAAAGCCAAGAGTTTTTTTCAGTAACCGTTTTTCCAACATTATTAACGTTCTTTCACTTGACATTAACGGTTCTTCGTTCCGATTGGAAAGAAACATTTTCTCTAAGGTTAACGACAAATTCACGTTTTATTCACGTTACCTCTTCCTCACTTTCATACTACCCTTGTCACGTGTTCACTTAATTCGTATTACTTTCCATCAGATGGTGGTCGCTGTTTATATCCGTCCCTTTTTTTGTACAAACCTCTAGTACCTTCAACATCGAGAAATGCAGATGTGGTCAATTTGGTTTTCCGTACTGTTTATCGATGAAATTAACCGTGTTAATTACATTTCAGACAATAAATAAATATAAAACCATATAAAATTAAGCTACATACGATTAAAATCGAACCTAATAATTTATGGGTTATGTGTTGTTGCTTATAAAATGATCCTTACACTTCGGTGCCGATTTATCTCTAACGGTCTCGAGATTGATTTTGGTTTGGTTATATAAGTAATTCAATTAATAACGATTATTATAAATATTAACACCAAAAATTAATAAAATCGAATAAACAGATTTAATTTGCCAAAAACATTATTGTTCATTACTTTTTAGTTGCATTATTTTTTTAAATAATGTTTAAATCAATATTTGTTAAGAACTTTAACACTTTTAGTTCGTTGGTGTTGCCTACGTGACTTCGGACGCTTATAAACTTATTGCCCTTTTTTGTTAATTAAACCCGAATACGTTGTGCATAATTCAGCATCATTCATAATCTATATAGATAACGTTCAAATCATACCTTAGTTCATTTATTATCATCGGGTCCATCATACAGGGGATCCTATCGTTCAACACATTCATTATAAACGCCCCGTTTAATGCAGTTTTGATTTAATTTTGTTATTGTGTATCAAAAAATTGTGAATCAAATATTTTTTCTTGTTAGTAATAAATAGAATAAATAAAGGTGGAGTGATAAATAATTCGTTTTATTGTGTTTAGGGTTAATGAATATACTTTGCTATCCAAGCTGGCAGCCCCGGAGAACACCGAATTAGCCCTTGGGGCGACAAACGTTACCAGCACAAGGAATCAAGGAACTTTAACTGGTAAGTAAAAAATCACTTTTATCCAACAAACAATATTTTATTATTTAATTAATTTAATTTTTGTGGTAATTTTATAGTTACATTTGATAAGTATATTCGATTTACTAATGAAATTTGAAAACGTGACAAAACTCACCGCTTCATAATCATAAATTGTATTTATACATTTTATTATTTTTACATTAATTTGTTAACGTAAATTTTCAATTGGAAAGAATAATAATGAAATCTATTTAATTCTAAGATTTCACCTACTTATATATAAATTATGCTAAAAAAATTGGTAATTAAACGTATATTCTAACCTAACATACAATCAACTTACAAACGAATTTCACAATAATGAACTATCTTATCTCGTTTAATAACGGTTTTTTAACTCGACGCTTTCTCATTTTTTGTTTCATGTGTTTCGTATTTGCTATTATTATTTTAAAAATATTAATAGAAAGTTGTGATTAGGTTTTAAAAACAAATTTTTAATAAATATTGTTGATATTTGTTTGTAAAGTTTATAAGTAAGCTTAAATGAAGGTTAACTCTAAGCTTTTTCTATTTATATCTGACCCTAAGCGTAGAGGTGCTTCAAAACAAGGTAGACATTCCGAGAAGTCGCTTTATAACGTTCGTTAAATGGGCTTGGCTTCAATCAAAATCGATTCTTTTTGCCATTTAGTTTCCGAGCTTACAGTTTGCATGGAAACTTGTTCGAGTTAAGAAATGATCGTTACTTTGCTGAAAGTTGTGCGGTATTTACGATTGGTACACTTGTAATATTTTGAGTTTGCGGGATTACGTGATTTTTATAATACGTCAGTGGAGTGTATAATATAAGACATCATTATTCGATTTAAATTAGAATTTGTATTGAAATGTGCATTAAAAACAGTCTGTTTTATTTATTTTTCAAAAAAGAAAATTTTTTACTGTTTGTTGAACGTCTCTGAGCAAATAAAACTCCCAGTAAAAAAATTAGAAATTAAATAAGTTGGGCAAAAATATTATTTTAGCTCGAACTGTTACTATGACCTATACAGGCTGTTTTACGCAAGTAGTTTTTACTTTTTTGGGTTCTAGTCTACTCCCACATCTTTGAAATACAAGCTGAAGGGTTTGTATATGCCTAAAATGCTTACAAGAGGATTGTCATTTCCGCACTGCAGTTTTGCGTTATTTTTAATTACAACTTTTTTTTTAATAAGCACGCTTCGTTAAATCTGTATTTCTAAGACATACATCACGTTAGACAGATAAAAATCAGCGCAGTATCGATGTATTTTAAGCAGATTTTCAAAAAATGTATTTAGAATTGGAACAACCTCAAAAATATTAAATAGAAGAATTTTTAACTCTTATAATTGTAAAGTTTCTCCCAGCAATCGTGTAATTTCTATTTTCCCATAATTTGGTAACTTAACTATTTTACGATTATATCCAAAATAAATCCTGAATAATACTGTCTTTGCTGGCTGTTTATTTGAAAGTAACTTCCTGCTGACTATACTTTGTTCTATCAACTCTTCAAGTTGATTCAATTGCAAAGAAGTAACTTTTGACTGAGGTGATCATAACATTCTGTTGTCTAAATTCCACCATTTCAGCATTGTCTCGATAATTTAGCTTTTACTTAAAAGATAAATATCACCATCATTATATTTTTCAAGTTCGCACTTCTCCAGATTTTGAATGACGTCTTAATTTGTTCGGGGTCTTTTCTTTTGTTGATGCCCGGATGAGGGAGGCGACCCCTCGCCCTCCAAACGTTTAGAGCAGATCTAGATCCTTCGTGAACCTTAGTATTGCTCCAAAGCCTTGTTCGTTTATGTCGGTAGATTCAAACCTTTCCAAAAATTTGTGTCTTATGCGATCCTTGGCGACGCAGTCACACAAAATATGTTCAGCAGTCTCTGACTTATCGTTGCTAAGTCGACAAGTTTGGTCATCAGCTTGTCTCAGTTTAGGGAACATTTGCTGAGACATAAAATCTGTTTGGTTTTCTTTTGCGACGGAGTTATCATACTCTTCGTCTGTCTGTGAGTCTTCCCATGTGGTAATCACCTGTTTTAAGTGGCTTATTGTCTGCCTTTTTGATAGTGTAATTTCATTACCCTATGGTACAATACTTCAAAGTAACTGGAAAAAAGGAACTTTCACAAATCAGTTTTCCTCTGTCTCTTGTTTAAAGGCTGGCATAGTTGAGCCAACAGAAAAATTACAAGATAGTCACTCCTTTAAAAGAAATCATTTTGGGTAAGGAGATTTTCAACTGGATGAGTATGAAACACAAAGTTACCTTTTTTGGTGAGTTACATATATTGCTCACACTTTCAGCTATCCGAAATTATTTTTTGTTCCTATTTAGCAGGTATTTAGGGTTGTGTCCAAATCACATTAGGGTCATTTAAGTTAAGTTTCTTTTAACTTTGTTAATTTATGTAATTATAATATATTAATTGATTAAAGAGGATTGGTTATTCTTTACCAATGATTTATAATCATTTGTTAATTTATTTTTGGAGCCAAGCATCCTGCATATCTTTTTATTACTTCCAGATTAATAGGGAACGCCTTTACCTGCAGTCACAGTCTACAGTACCTTATCCATTCACACAGGTCTGTTGGTAATTATTCCTATAATTACTACTTTCACATAAAGCTATATTAACATGACTGCATCAACTCTCCCGGCAGTATTTTATCAAACACCTGAGAAGAAAGTCCGAACATTGTAGTTGACATTCCTTTTTCTTCTGCTTTGTGGCCTGTTCTACCCACTTTGTCTGCTTGCACTTTTTATGATGCGGACAACTAGCTATCTTTCTATCTTCCCGGAAGTCGTCTTAGCGGCCTTTTGGCAATCCTTGGCTGTCTATTCCTTTCCATTCTTGAATCGTGCTCGTTCCAGAGCCTTCTGCGTGCGCTAGGTTACCATAGGTTTTGCACAACGTAGGTAGGAGACTCTTTTATAATGCTTTCACTCGATTTGTTAAATTACATAAACAAGACAGTACTTTGTTTATATTATCTTCTGGACTATCAGGGTTACCACGTTTTGGATCATTATCATTTCCTTTGGCGAAACAACCACCTAATTAAGAACTCATAGCAACAATTTTTAAAGTGGGAGTTAACACTTCTTTGGTTTTACTTAATTGTAAATGTATCTAGGGTTGGTGCCTTTGTATCTTTTGGATTCATTATTTCTTCTAAACTAAATACATCTGTATTAAATCTAAACCGTGTACTTCAAAGGTTCGACTCAAATTTTTCAGAAAATAATACAACCTTCTTCACCCTGGTATTCAATAACTAAATGTTTGTAATATATTTATATTGGAGGTTTAAATGTAATGCTTTGTCAATGGGAAAGTATAAAATCACCTCAAGTGGTTCCGAGAAATTCTATATACAACAACAATATATTATGTTACGTTATTATTACAACGCATTCATGGAGTTTTAAAATAATCAGAGCATACAAATTGGTGTTTTAAATAAACAATAAACACTATTCGTTTTATTAAATTGTTTGTCTATACAAGATCCGTTATCATAGAATATTTAACACCAATAACAATTGATAAAACGGAAACATTATATTAAAATTCCCGTGATATCACCGTTACTTTGATTTCATTCATTCATAAAAAAATATAAACAGTTTCGCTTTAAATTAATTACTTAACGAAAAAGCTTTAACTGTTTCCTTTTTTAAAAAGAACAAACTTTCGTTCGTTCTTCATTCTGTTCGATCGTTCGTTCAGTCGGTTTTAAAACGTTATCCAACGCGTTACCAACAAGCACAAGAAGCTCTATTCTGTTTGGTTGATGTTGTTGGATCGCTGCCAAGAAATCTAATCGGCAAACAGTTTGAGTCGGATCAACAAAAGCTTTAAAATTTGTGTTAAGTGAATAGAACTAAACGGATCGGAAGGGAGGGACGATCTTAAAGAAGACGTAGGCGTTTTATTTTTTGGGAACGCTTCTCTTTGTCACGTGCTGCGTCCGTTTGGAGGAGAAGCTAATAATATCGTTTTTAGAGAGAAGGTACGGTGCGGTCGATGGATGGTAGTGTTGGAATAGGTGCCGACGGCGACGACGTCGACGTCGCGAAATGAACGGTGCTGCCTCCACCGCAAACGCCGCGTCCGACGACGCCACCGGAAGGAGGCTTCGCGTTCGACGCGCGAAATCCGTTTATTATTTGGATAAGGAGTTTGCCAATAAAAAACGGGAGGTGCTTAGTGCTTGGAATCAGGGTATGAATGGATGAAATGGTTTCTTTTTTATTTATTTATATTAATTCTTTTACTTTAAAATAATTTGATTACAAGAAAGTCGCGATGATTCGAAAAAGTTAAAATCATTAGTATTCACCTAAATCTGCCTAAAAACTAGATAAAAATGATTTGAAGATTAAGTTTAATGTTTTAATTTTCTGCGTAGAAGAACGTATTCACATCAAATCTGTTTCTAATTTTTAAATTTATTAGATTAATCACGATTATGATAAAATTATTATTAGGTTTTTATCAGAACACACCTTATTTTTTATTTCCTAGATTAGGCTATAAGTACTTATTAACTTAAAATATGTTATTTTAAGATTAATATTACTTATTATAACGGAAAAGAGTTCAATAAAACGTTCTTTCTAACACTATACTTATATAGACTCGTGAATTAATTATTCGCACGTGAATTAATCGATTAGTATTCGAAGTGTGATGGCAAGGCGTCCGCAATTAATTCTACGTTAGGTAACGTACATACGCAATTTGTGACTCTTGGCTATGGTTGAAAACGTTCTTTTAAAATTAGCCGATTACCTCACTTCATATTCCCAAAACAAAACAAAAATAATGTTTGTTATATATACTTAAATCGTTCATTTGGAGGTGTTTGGTTGGTTGTTTATGGAGTTGTTATAACACATTATTAGTTAGGGGAAGAAATTATGTGTACTTCTTTTAAACCTTGGGAATAACGGTTGTAATACA